TTTCCATGGAGGGCATCAGTCCCAAGGTAGCTTCATCTCATCTTGGATCTCTGATTTTACTGTAGAGCTGCTGCTTCTGTAGATATAGCTGGAGCAAGAATTTGTGGGCCCAAAGGACACACTACATTCTCTTCCTCCTTCCCTTCACTAGCAGGGAATATTTCTTCTTCTCTTGCTGGATCATTCCGTTTAATGGTGAGACTAGCATATCCTCTTGTGGATAAACTACCATGCCTTATGTACATACTTCTGCCTGTCCACATGGCAAAGTCAGTTTCAGTGGCTAGGAAAGTTGTTTCGAATAATAAACTCTACAGTTGGGCAACAGAATCCACCAACTGCTCCTCTACAAAAGACAGGAGTCTTCTGCAAAGATTTACAGCCTTGGGAGCCTTGTTGTTGTTAGGTGCTGCTACCTCAACTACATACAACTCCTTGTGACTCAAAACCTACTCCTGTCCTGTTGTCATCATCATGACAGTGCTGTTATACCTTCTCCTGAAGTGTTGCTGGGTGAGAATTGACTTGATGGTAGTGGGCATGGTTTGGGGCATTCGTCAAGGCCATAGGGCTTTGTTCATGGCTATATGTTTAATTTTCATTTATTGACGTAAGAATCGGCACTACAATCCTGAAGCCACAAGGTTTGAATCTGCCAACTGTTCTGTAGGAGAAGGATAGACTGTCTTCTTCCATGTAATTATAGCCTCTGAAAATCCACTAGAGGGTTTGCTATGGGTTGGTTCCAACTGGATGGTACACAACAATACAGAAGAGGCTGTATGTAATTCTGTTTGTTTTTTTTTGGGGGGGTGATTCATTTGGATATTTATCCAACTACCTATGTTTGCTTTGCTTTGCCTTGGTGGCCTAGTAAGTAAGGAGTTGTACTGCCCACCCAAAGGCAGGTGGTTTGAGGCCACCAGCGGCTCAGTGGGAGAAAGAGGCTCAGTCTTGCACACATGCAATTTACAGCCTCAGAAAATGCAATGGAGAGTTAGCTATGAGTCTGAGGCAGTTCTGACTCCAGCAGTGACTCAGTCTGACTTGCCTTGGCAAGAGCTCTGATAGCATAGTGGTCAAAAGTGCAACTGCTAACCAAAAGGTCATTGGTTTAAACCTGCGTGCTACTCCATCGGAAAATGATGAAGCAATCTGCTTCTGTAAAGATCAGAGCCTTGGAAACTTTCAGGACAGTTCTGCTCTATTGTGACCTATAGGGTTACCATGAGTCAGAATCGACTTAACAGCGTAGAACTTGTTTTGGTTTTTGCCTTGCAGTCTTTGCCAAGAGAGTGTAGCTCGTTGGCTCTATATAGAAATGGGATGTATCTGCAAATTAAAGAAAGGTTTTTTATTATGTTAAGAGGTACTGATGTTAAGGAAGTTACTGTTACAGCATTTAAACTCTCTATAAAGAATTAGTTATAAAGAGGGTAGGATCATAGGGTCACACAATTTGATGGAGGGGGTGAAGGAAATGGGAAAGATCTAGTGTGAAAAGCAGTGTATTCAAACTTTGGAAACAAAGTCTGGGAAGGGGAAAAAAGAATTTAGACCATGCATGCTAGACTATTGCTCTGAAATTTGAAACTATTAAAAATTTATAAAAAAAATAGTATCCATCCCACAGCTCTCTGAACCTAAAAAACATGCTGAAAAGGGAGTATTGCCATGTTATGTTAGTTTCTCTTCAGGCAGAGCTGAGAGAGAGCTGGCTCACATTTTTTCATCTTTCATTCATGGCCAATCCAGAAAACCCAGTCAGGGAAATCACGTGCAGCCCTAACTGCAGCTGTCTTGACCAGAAAACTTTCCCTCTCTTGCCCTAGTTCTTGCTGATTCTGCTTTTTGTGCATTTTCAAACGTCTCTTATTGCTATTCTGGTATATGTTGAATACAGAGATCTAGACATTAGCCTGTAATCAAATCTTTGTATTTGGAACACTATCTTTGTTAATACACCTCTAAAAACAGTACTGTTACTTAAGAAAAGTATAAAGGAGGAGCTAGAAATTGCAAAGTTAGACTCATTTAAATTATAACAGAAAAATACAGAGCATTTTATTCTTACCCTGGTTTGAAACATTTTCCACATGTGCCCACTCGCATATTGGGTTTGTTCCATTGCTTGCTACCTGCTGAATGTGAATATTATTGGTCCCTAAGCCCCTTTTTACTTCTGAAATTGCTTGCCTCAGAAACCCTGAATGTGGAGAAACACTGAAATTTATACAAGTGTTCAGGTCTTTCATTCATAGGGTCTCTATGAGTAGTCTATGACCCAATGGCACTTACCAACAATACAGAGCTCTGTTGGACTAGTGAATGGAAAGTTATGCTACCAAACAAAAGGTGGGTGATTTTAATCTGCAGCTCTCTGGCTTGGTTTTTTGGGGTTTTTTTTTTGCCAAACAGTCTTCTAAATGATATAGCACTGGTCTGTCCATTTGCTGTAGAGAACTAACTCATGGTTGCTGTGATACTGAACACTTTGACACTGATGTGTCAAATGTGATAACGGTTAACCATGGTGGACAGAGTTTGGTGAAGCTCCCTGATCAAAACAAGCTTGGAAACAGGAATGGCATCCACTTCTGAAATAGTTTGCCTCTGGAAACTCTATGAACTTGGAGAAAAGATGAAAATTATACATTTATTGACGTTTTTTGTTCATAGGGTTGCTATGAGTTGCCTCCGACTCAACGGCACTTAACAACAGACTCCCTTTCAGGTCTCAAATTCTAACTTTAACATTCCTGTAAGATTTGGTGAAAAAATTCACTTTATCTGTATGGCATCTACTCCCTGTGTTAAAAGATTCTCAATCCTTTTTTGTCCCATTTTGCACTGCTGAAATGTTTCAGGTGTCTTTAGTCCTGGCAATTTTTTTGTGTTTCATCCTATTATGGAATCCAACTAGTTCTACCATTAACACCGTAATCCAGGCCAGCATCCTCTCTGCTGGGAGTTTTGCATTTGCAGTAGTTTCTCAGTGACCCCTCTGATGATTATGTTTTTTCTTTACAGTCTATTCTCCATCCATCCGCGAGAATAACTCTTAAAAAGTGTAACTTTGATCATGCCAACTTGACTCAGAACCCGCTGGTTCCATGTCTCATTCTAGCTAGACAGTCTGATTGATCTGGCTGCTGCTCCGCTCAGGCCTGATTACCACTCAATTTGCAGTTGTCCCTCTCCCTACTAATTAGTCCTAGGAAGGTCATGTGTGTGAATTGAATCTGTTTCTTAATGTGTGTTTCTTTTTTCCATTGCAATATGAGTAAACGTTTACAATGTTTCTCCTGTGAAGAAGCATAAGAAGGTTTCTCCTCAGTAGGTAGGTAGAGTCTCTGGTTTGAAAACACCATCATAGTAACATAAGCTTTCACTAACAGGCAGGTGGTAGGTGCATGAGATGCTTTGGCCAGGAATTGAACCCAAGTCACCAGTGTGGTAGATAGGCACATACCAACTTCTTGGTTTTTTGTTTGTGTTTGCTGTTGAAAAATGTTAAAGGTCTTTGTGTTAATATAACGATTGGTAGAGAATGGGACAGGAAGGGGAGAGATGAGTGAGCCTTGGAAGAAAAACCTAACAGCTCCAGTATTTCCTGTTCTCTTGTCTCCAGGGAGAACTGTGATCTCTATCCAGGTCAAATTCCAGGACAAACAATCCACGTCTGTCAGTTCTTCATTTGTTATATAATCTTGGTTTCAGAAAATGGGGACACTAGCCACAAATTAAATGTTGACATCTTAGAATGAGTCATGATTTTTTAAAAATTATTTATAATGTTTTCATGAAACTCTTGGGTTTATTTATGACCATTTATAAAGTATGGAGAAGTAGAGGCAGAAAACCCAAACAGTGACGAGATGTTTGTGAATGTCTCTATGGCAAGTGTGGTTAAGATAGAGATGAGATGAGAAGAGGTAAATGATGAAACTGGATTTTCAAAAGAGGCAGATCTTGTTTCTGTTCTTGACTGTTTGGTACATCACACTGTTAGATTACGTTGAACACATTGGTGGCTATAGTTGATGGTCCCTGCATACTAACTGAAAAGCAGCTCTGGTGGCCTAGTGGTAAGAGTTGCTCTGCCAAGTCAAAGGTAGGTGGTTTGAATCCACTGGATGCTCTGTGGGAGAAAGATGGTCACCCTCTCCCTATGCATCGTATTATCTGTGAAAACCCACTGGAGGCTCAACTATGGGTAATTTCCAACTTTCTGGTACATAGCACAAATAACAGAAGGGTGATTGGTGGTTTCAGTGCCAAGCACATAGAAGAAAGCCTTGACGATCTACTTCCATGAGAGTAAAGCCTTGGAAAAATCTGTGGGACTCATGTGGGTTTGCTGTGAGCTGAAATTAGCTCAATGGTAAGGTATAAAATATATTCCCTTTTCATTGCTATTCTGTATCATCAAAAAAAGTTGCCTATTTGTCAGTTGATAATAGTGTCATAACGGAGTATGTGTTATTAAATGATTTCATAAGGAAAATTCTTTATTTAGAGTATAAGCTCCTGTTGTATTTTAATTGGGGCCTCATTACTTTATTGTTGGCACCTTATGTGGGTACCCTGGATCGTCTTACTAGAGAAGGTGAAGCAATAGAGTGTGAGCTCAAGTTCTTGCCTACAGTTGGTCGTGGTGGTGTTTGGGGTTAATGACAAACTTGGAATAATAGAAATGCTGAAAAGACAAGGATTAGAAGACTTCCAGTTGTTGTGATTTTTTGTTTGTTTGTTTCTTTCCTGTACTGAATAAGCTTTAAATGAACCATCCTTGTACCTCAAGCCTAGTGACAGTGGAATTCGAAGAGATTCTTATTAAACCTGGAAGATGGATGGGGAGTTAATAGGATATATTAAATCAGATAATGGCTGTTCATTGGGGATCATTTCATTTAAAAGAGAAAGACATTAAATAGTTCTCATCACTTGTTTGTGCTTGATACATTCAGGGTTAACCTCACTCTTTCCCTTTTCTCTAGGCAAATAAGGGAGAAACTGAAGAACCAAGTCGCTCAGATGAAAGAACAAGTCCCTGGATTCACACCAGGCTTAGCGATTTTACAGGTATCATGACAGTACATGTCCACTAATGTCTGTTGAATTGTGTCCTTCTCAAAATGCCTGTGATTCTACTTGCATATGAAAATGGTAGTTTCCTTAAGTCAGTGAGACAGGATTAGTATAGGGTGTGCTTTAAATTTATCTTTTTTGAGATGTAAAAGAGATTAAACCAAGTAGAAAAAGCAAAGGTGGGGGGAAGTAGATGCCAAGCCTCATAGAGCTCTCCAGGGAACCAGGAAGCAAACTGAAGAGACAAGGACCTTGCTCCACAGCACCCTAAAATCAGACTTGTAGAAGGCCTTCTTAATTGGGAACAAACTAGTTTGTTAATGCCACCCACTTGTGGTCCTTCTGTTATACCAGACTCCATAACTAAGACAGTGTCTTCTCTACTGTCTTTCAGTAGCGCTTCAGATCTTCGTTTGGGGCTTCTGTGGGCTCTCATACCTTTTCCGTTTCTCTTCTGCAGACGACTCCTTTCAAGTTCTACTTCGAATTGTTGGAATATTGTGAACTTTTCTGTTACTCTCATTAGAATCCACCCCTCCCCCCCCCCCCCCCCACTGGGCCAGTTTTTCTTAAACTTTAGTCTTAGGACTCATTTACTTACTGGAAAATGTAAAAACCTCATTTCCATGATTTTGCCCATCAATATTTACAGAATTGGAAATGAAAACTGGACAATTTTAAAAAATAGTTATTTGAAAAGGCCTTTAGTAAATTCATAGGTTTACATTATATTTTTATAAAAAAATTTTTCAGAGCAGTGTTTAGTCAAGAAGAACATTATTTTAAGGTTCTGTGCAACTTTAATATCTGGCTTAATAAAAGAAAGCTGGATTCTCATCTTCTGTAGTCATTCTGTTGCTATATGCTGGGTTTGTTAATATATGGAGAAAACCTGGTTTTGTGTAGATATATAACTGGAAAAGGAAGAAGTCTTTTAACAGTCTTTCAGACAATGGTGTATATTTTTTTTCTGTTATTGCACCAAAGCTAGTTAAGTAGAATTTTTTAGCAATTAATGAAATTGGGGATCTGAAATTCTTATCAGTGATTTTTTTATATATATATATTTTTTTTTACTTTGTCACAGCAGAATCCTTTGGTCTGTGTTACAGTTAGAAAGGCAATTTTACATGGTTTGGATACTTTGTTTTACTTTAAAAGAAGCCCCTGGCTTGGCTGTTAACCAAAAAGATTGGCAGTTTGGATCCAACTTGTATTTCAAATGGGATATTTGTGGCTAGTATAGCTTGCAGCACAAAAGCTAAGAACTTTTCTTGGAGATAACCACCATATTTCTATATTACACAGAAGTCCTTTATGAGTGATTGCCAGCTCTTCCTACAGAATATTAAAATACACCCAAGGGTCATGGTTTAGTAGAACTAATAATTTTTATTGCTTTGTCAAGGACATTCTCAAGTGAAACTGATATATGTTCATCTAAATGACAGTGGTGGCACATCACTAGCTTGATGAAACCATTGCCATCATTTGTTCTAAAGCTCCAGCAGTTCTTTCCACCTTTACTTCTGCCCCATCACTGTGATGGCAGCACGGTGAAAAAGGCAAAGGACATGACAGTAAACTTGAGCTTTCCTTGCATGATGGCTGTTTCAGTGAATCCGCTTTTGGGTATCTGGAGGGCCACCGTTGGTGGCTTCAGCAAGGTTTGACTGCCAAGCCCTCAGGTTACGGGCCCCTTCCCAAGCTTCCAGACTGGTCTTATGCAGATGGTAGGTCTGCTCCTCCAATGAAAGGCCAGCGTCAAAGAAAAGCCCAAAGGAAGAATTTTGCAAGACGAGTGGTATTGCTCTCATAGGAAATGGAAGCTGGATTACAGGCATGGCAGCTCAGGCAGCAGCAGAAATTGCAGGAAGAATGGAAACAGAAAAATGCTCTTAAACCCAAAGGGTCTTCACTACAAAGCCTACTTCCAAGTCAATAAAGAGTAACATACCTTTTCTCCCACCAAAAAGAGAATAAATTTGACCTCTCGGTTCCTGGAAAATGCAAGCACCATTCTGAGAACTACTACTCTAGGCAATTTTATCTGGTCCCACACAACCAGATGTAGGCTGATGACTTGTACATCTAGCTCTCCTGAGTTCTAGACTCTTGGTTTCTGAGGCACCAGCCTTATTTCCTTCTTATCCCTTGTCTCCTTCCTTTGTCATTCCTCGCTTCCCTGAGACCTAAACCTCAAGGCACAGGTCAGAACTCTTGGCCACCTTATTTTTTCTGAGTAACCTCACCATGCCCCACAGCTCCATGAGGGAATACTTATACATTTAGTTCCCCACTTGGAATTTCTTCTCTAGGTTCAGAGTCATATAGTTGGTAGGAAGCAGTCAGCAAATATTTGTGCAGCTACATTTATGAATGAATGTGTGAAGTGTTTGTTGATTTCACTGATGGGAAATGGCTGGCTGTTATCCGAAACACCCTTGAGAAGGACACATTTCTTCACCTCACGTTCTCTTATGTGCATGTCACTACCCACATCATTTAATCTCTCACAAAGTTTCTGTCTCTTGTTTTATCAAGAATTTCTGAGTAGTGCTTAAACATTCCCTCCCTATAATTGCACATTATTTCCCCATTAGAGAGACTGAGGGTTCCTGAGAGGAAAAGCGCAGAAGGCCTGCCGTTTGCTACCCAGTGTGTTCTTTGCTGGGGTGGGTTTACCCAGTGTGTTCTTTGCTGGGGTGGGTTTTCCTTTTTTTGCAAATTACCAAGTGAGAATAAAAGTCATATGTTGTGGGTGTATACTCAGTACATTTGGAGACCAGTTATTTCTTGGCTTATTCTTGTGAATTGTTTGTTGTAGAAAGAGTAAATGTCATAGGCAAGAAATCTGTTTCTGTAAATCTTTTTCTTAGCAATATTGGGAGGTTCCCCCCGCCCCATTTTTAAAATCGACTCCCAAACTTTCATTTTGAACTTGCGGTTGCAAGTGCTTTTGTTACATAATAAGCAGTGTTCCACCCAGTCTCTCCTATGTCCTTGCCAATAAACAGTGGTAGGTTTTTAATATTTACCACTAGTTTTGTGCACTTCACCACAAAACATTTTGTCTCTGATACAAGGTTTACTCGGTATGTTGTAATCACAACTCTGTTGTCTCAGACCTCTTTCCCATCCTGGTACCTGGCTCCACCTCTTCCCCACATGCTCAGCCCCAAATCCCAAGGTCATCTCTGTTTTTAGTAGTAAAAGGTTGCACTGCCAACTCAAAGACATGAGGTTTGAATACACCAGCTGCTCCTTTGGGAAAAAATGGGCAAGAATATCCTCCTGTGCATTGACTGCCTCTAAAAACTCTGCTCCATGGACAGCTATGAGTTGGTTCCAACTCGATGGTACGTAACAACAACAATCAATATATAGGCTTCTAGGGAGAAAGATGGGATATCTCCTCCCATTGGTGACTTACAGCCTCCAGAATCCAGTGAAAGGTTGCTATAACCAACTCAAGGACAGTAGCTTGAGTAGTGGTTTTGGTTTTTTTAAACAAGACATACATACAACAGGACACGTGCCATTTCTACAGCTCTAACAGTCTCACAATTGGACCAATAAACAACATCATGATAGAGAAAGAATTGACATTTTCAAGGATTTTGTTTTATTCAAGCTGATAATCAACGCCTCTGCAGCTAAGAAATCAAATGATGCATTGCATTGGGCAAAACTGCTGCAGGGGGCTCTTCAACAAAGATATCGCTTTGAGGACTAAGGTGTGCCTGATCCAACATATGGTTACCTTAGATGCTTGTGAAAACTGGACAATAACTTTCCACAAAAGTGAATGTTTTTTAAAAAGTAAAAGTTTTCATCATGAGAGATACAAATCAGGCTGTATTTCTATCGCTCTAGCACATAATATTGGAAGCAGGAGTGGCATCCACTTCCTAAACAACTTGCCTCCAGAACTCTATGAACTTTGATAAATGTCCATAGTTGTAGACAGGCTTCAGGCCTTTTGTTCATAGGGTTGGTATAAGTCATTCTTGACGCAAAGGCAGTCAGTAACAAGCACATAATATACTTTTGTACTTAGTAATAAATAGCTAATATTTATTTCCTACCAGGAACTATTCAAAGTTCATTACATTTAATCCAAGCAAACTATATGAGCAAAACCCATATGACCTAAAATTAATAATAAACTCAAACAGTTTCTGGAGCAGAAAGGAAAATTAACATGGGGACAAACATTTAAGGCACTGTATATTTAAGATAGCAATCAATAAATTATGGCATAGGGTATTAACCATCAATATTTTTAAGGGATTGGGGCAGGGGGGCTGGAAAAAATGAGTATGTGACCTGCGAAGTCTAAAGTAGGTACTGTCTTTTATAGCAGCACTCTGTGGATCCTGGCCTAAAAAGGAAAAATAGTTGTCCCTAACCTGCTCAGATATTGGACCTTTCTATATGGAAGATGTAATTCTCAACCTCTTCAAGAAAGAAATTAGCATTCTTGATTAGGTACTTTTCTGATAAACTATGAAGGGATTAAGATTTGTTCTGAGGAACTAGTCTTCCACCCACTCAGGTGACTGTCAGTCAAGAATCATTAAACCTTCTTTTTTATCCTGTCTAACAATGATGGCATAATCATTCCCACCTATCTGACGCTTATACTGAGAGTGAATCTCTGAATTGGCTTCTTAGGGGTCCTCTCTTGTGCACTATAATAAAACTTTGGCCTATGCTTGTTATTGTCGTTGGTAGGTGCTGTCGAGTTGACTGTGACCAATGGCGACCCTCTGAGCATCAGAGCCGTACCCTGCCTTGTCCTGGGCAGCCTTACCGTCTCTGATACACCTAGGCCCATTGTTAGAGTGTCGGTCCATCTCATCCTCTTTTGCTGGCTCTCACCTTTCCCAGCATGACGTCTTTTTCTATAGACTGACCCCTTCTAACAACATGCCTGAAGTATGCGAGATAAAGTGTCACCATCTCTGCCTCCCAGGAGCACCTTTCTCCAAGACAGAGCTGTTTGTTCTTTTGGCAGTTCATGGAATATGCAGTACTCTCTTATCACCACAAGTCAAAGGCATCAGTCATTCTTCATTATCCTTACTCATTGTCCAAATTTCAGATGCATGCCAGGTTACTCTTCGGTTTTCTTGTTAAAACAGGTTGCAGTTTTGAACTTTTAGGAAATATCTTTATAATCATTTATTTCAAATTAAGACAGTTCCCTACAGAAGAATAGAAGGACAACAAAAGACTTCAGACTTGTCCTCTTTAATACTAGATGCCACAGACAGCATGTCTGCCGAAGGGCTGTCACTCCAGTTTATCCAAGGGAGTCCTTTACCGCAGAAAGATCCTTTCAGTCACTCTTACACTCAGAATTATGCCCTCAGTACCTTTCCTGGCAAAGTTACTTAGAGTTGCATTTCAGCTACCTGAGAGAGGCACGGGGAAAAGTCCAGACAGAATTTGTGCTTGAAAAAGAAATGGTTTAAAAGGGGGGGGGGGGGGGGACGGGACACTGAGCTATGAAACCAGTTAGTCTCAGAGGTTAGCCTAAATAATGAGAATTATTATTTATATTAATGACATTGAACAAATGCCATTATACCTTGAACCACCTCACCTCCTTTTCTACTTTGATCTTACAGTCTCAGAGGGTGTCAGTCTAGTACCTGAATCAATGAGGGATTGATAGGAGGGACAAAAAACATGTATAGAAAATGACCAAAGAGTGAGATGAGGGAGACCAAACTTCCAGGGAAGCCCCACCAGAGGTAACTTCCTATTGTTAGGTGCCATCGAGTAACTAAAGAACAAATAAGGAGATGACTAAGGAACAAATATTTTGCCTCTCAAAGCTGAACTGTCTGTACATGAACTATGAAAAAGAGTCTAAGATGAAGGCCACCTTTGGAGTTCACCGAGTGAAATCTAAGGGGGCACTTACCTAGTCAATGTGAACCTGAGAAAGTCTGGAAATAGTTTTTTAGAAATAGAAAAGAACTGTAGTGATTCTGTTGAAAGGGCTGTATTGAGGAGCTTGCCACTTTCCCCCTGTGGTACCAGAGAAACCAACATTATTGCAGCTTATCAACTGCAAGAATACTTCAGTCTTACCAAGGAGAAGTGCCAACTGCTGGAGCTGGGAAAATATTTGTAAGAGAACATTGTCTATAGATAGACCATAACAGTGAGGAGCTCAAAGTATGATCATGATTAAAGACATGGAAAGAGCCCCAGGTTTATCTTGGCTCCTAACAGATAGGTTGGTAGTTCAAGGCCCCTCCAGAGGCACTTTGGGTGAATGAAAGGAATGTAGAGACACACACAGTGGTTCGCTGTCTTCCGAGCCACTCTTTTCTCTGTCTTGAGGGTACACTTTGCTGCCTCACATGTTCTGTGTAAACAAGAATCAGGTCCACCCAACTCATTTCTCTGTTTTGAGGAGGCCAGACCTTTCCAAGCCCTGACTGTGGAATGTGCCCTCTGGGTGTTCCTGTGTCTCTGAGCCCAGGTATTTTTCCATCCTTGTGGTAATTTGTCAGCCCTTCATAACGTGATGCTGTGGTATGTCTGCCCAATAATGGGATGAAATTCCCTGTATCTGGTAGACCTGAACTTTCCCTAGTTTCCAATGCCGCTTTCATTTTCTTTTCTCTTGGCTGTTGAGTGGGAACCAGGGAGGCTTTGGTTTCAGAAAGGGCTGCAGTCCTGCCTATGATCGAGACTCTATGCCGCTCCTATTTTCTCCCCAACCTCCTCGATGTTCTCTCTAATAGGTGGCATATGATGAAACATTCCTTTAATCAAACCTAAAATTTCAGAAGCCGTTTTGTACACTTTGCCATTCCCTCATTGTCTGATTTGTATGTATTTGTTATTCTAGGTTGGAGACAAAGATGATTCAAATCTTTATATAAATGTGAAACTGAAGGCTGCTGAAGAGGTAAAACCTAGACCGGGGTGTCAGCACCCCCGCTCCCTCACCTTAGTTCTGTCTTTTACCCCTTGCCCTTTGTACCTTTCCCCATTAAGGCCTGTATCGCTCAAAATAGGCTGTTTTGTAAACAGAAATGGATTTGGCACTCTGGCCCATCATTTGCCCTTAAATATTTTCTCATCAATGATTTGCTTATTTCCCAAAGGGCAGGGATAGTGGGCATGAAATGATTAATTGCAGTAGTGACCACTTGTAAATAAATGAGTAGAATGAGAATGCTTTTTCAGAATACATAAGGATGAAGTGGTGACAAAGCCATCTTGATTGGTTTAATTTAGTCCGATCTGGAAAGAAATGGGCCCATATCTCTAGTTTACTTGCCATCTTGTTTATTTATTTTGCAGATTGGGATCAAAGCCACTCACATTAAGTTGCCGAGAACAGCCACAGAATCTGAGGTGAGCCTTTTGTTACGCATCAGATGCTCAGAGGTCTGGGTTTTGATGCTTTAACATAGATATTTAGGTGTTTCTCCACGTGCCCTGATTATTCCTTTTGAAAATACCAGCAGAGTAAATGGGTTAGCCCTAGGCTATGAGCATTAATTACTCATTAATTAATTGTGGTTTCAGCAGTATTTATGTCTCACCAGTGATACTTACTAAAAAATGATCCCTAATGGAAGTCACTCCCAGAGGTCACCTTTCAGCCAAACAATAAATTGCTTCTAAATAAACAGTATCACCTCTGAGAAATACACTCCCCGAAAAAGTTAACTGTATGAGACCAAATGATTAACATTGGCCTGAAAGCAAAGATACGAAAGAGGGACAGGGAGCTAGATCACTGAAAACAGAACAGACAGAATTAGATCACTGAAAACAGAACAGACAGAATAGTAAATAATGAGAATGGTGATAGATTCTAGCAATTACAACCAGTACCATGGGCTAATTTATATGATAATCACTAAATATTAATTAATTTGTTGTGTAAAATACTCATTTTCAATTATATTTTAAAAATAAAATTTAAGATAGCTGGATACGAAGTTCTGGTGGTCTAGTGGGTAAAGAGCTGTGCAGCCACTGCAAAGCAGCCGGTTTGTGTATCTACACACAGCTCTGGGGGGCTAGTAGAAGCTCTATTGCAATCCCAAAGCGCACATACGGTTTGAATCCACTGGCTGCTGCAGGTAAAAGATGGGCGATCTCCTCTCATGCGATTCATTGCTTCTGAAAACCTGCTAGAGGGTCAGCTATGAGTCGGCTCTGACTCAACAACACACAACAAAAACAATTTTTTTTTTCAGAGCCATTGTTCAGAAGGTCACTATGAGCCTTAGTTAACATGATGACTCAACAACAAATATGTATGTGTTAGTTGGAAGTGACTCATAGCTGACCCTCCAGAAGGTTTTCAGAGGCACTAAATCCCACAGGAGGAGATTGCCCAGCTTTCTCCCGAAGAGTAGCTGGTGGATTCAAATTGCATACCTTTGTGTTGGCAGCCCAGTTGTTTACAACTAAACCACCAGAACTCCATATATATCTCTGTCTGTGTGTGTGTGTGTGTGTGTGTGTGTGTGTGTGTGTGCGTGCGTGTGTGCGTGCGCGCGCGCACACATATATGTAATTTTTTTTTAAGTATTTTCTGAATTTTTGGCCAACATTTACCTGCATTCTAAAATCCAAATGTGCATTCCATTTATATGATCTTTAAGAACAGGTAAAACAATTCTAAGTTTGTAAATAAACCAGTATTTTAAAAAAATTAGGCAAAACAGATCAGTGATGATGTTGTTCCTGGTAGGGATCAGTGCCTTGGGAAAGGGCAAGAGAGCAAGGGAACTTTCTTAGGTCATGGACGTGCTCTTTGTACCATGCTGTATGGTAGACTTTAGTTCTGTATGGCTATTAACATTAAAGTTTAAAATTTTATTGCTTGGTTCACAATCCACCTTTCAGGCCCTCAGTAAGCACCAGGGACTAGGTACCATTCCATAAGAAGGTACAAATTACAGAACATTTTCACCATTATACAAAGTGTTGTTGGATAGTGCTATTCTATATCTTGATTTGGATAATGGTAATTTGGGTGCTATTATTGTGGTGTATTATTAAAGTTTTGACTTTTTCATTTGATGTCTGTCTTAGAGACATCTAGGGGACATGTTCTGTGTTAAACTTTTGTTTATCATTTAAGAGTTTGCGAGAATTATAATTTAACTCTTGAGAGGAAAATGGAAACTTGATTTTACTTAAAAAGTTTTCCTTTGCCCCTTTGATTTGGATGCAGTCTACAAATTGTATATGGTATTACTTTTAGGTGTTAAAGCGTATTATATCTTTGAATGAAGACTCCACTGTGCATGGGTTCATTGTACAGCTTCCTCTAGATTCAGAGAATCCCATTAATACCGAAACAGTGGTCAATGCCATTGCACCTGAAAAGGATGTGGATGGGTAAGTAAGTTGGTTTTCTAGATCACACTGCATCATTCCATTTATATTTCTGTTTCAAGACCACACTGTATTTGGTTCTAAAAAGCAAATCTATAGAACCACCTTATTTTTTCCTACTTTATTTTTTTAGACTGACTAGTATCAGTGCTGGAAAACTTGCCAGAGGTGACTTAAATGACTGTTTCATTCCTTGTACACCCAAAGGTTGCTTGGAACTCATCAAAGAGACAGGTAAATAAACCAGCACACTCAGAGTGCCATGTCTTGGAGCCTGCTTTTGACTCTACCTGTAGATGAGATACATTGTAGGTCATGAATAAATGGACTTGATTAGTACAAAGACCTTTCTTTCTCCTAGAATTTTTACCTAAATATTCACTGAATTTTCTCAACATTTTATATTCATAGGTGCTGTCACTTTAAACAGCAGAGAAAATAAGTCCAAGAGAGATTAAGGAAGTTGTTAAGGGACTTAGTTCATTAATCACAGAGCCAAGTTTTTACTCAAGTTATTTGGTTTCAAAGTGATTTCTTTTTCGAGGAAAAAAAACAACAAAATAAGCTATATAATGAGAATTTAGATAGTATGAGAAATCATAAAATCAAAAGCCCCCAGTTCTAAGCCAGTAATCACTTCTACCAGTAACCAAGACTTTCAGGACTTGGATGAGGAAATGTGACAGTAATTCTAAGCTTACACACATGGCTTCGAATGGACTTCTCTAACAGGTGGCCCAATTACCCAGTCCATGGCTTGGCATTTTAATTTTATTATGAATGCTCTACAGAGATGATTTTGTCTAATGGTGGCCAAATATATAGAACTTAAGATTTAAAGTTTTAAAGTATAGTTCAGTAGCATTTTAGTATATTCACAATGTGTGTATCCATCTTCACGATCTAATTCCAGCGCATTTTTTGTCACTCCAGAAAGAAACCGTATATCCAATAGTCACTTCCCATTACCCCTCCTGGCAGCCATTTATCTGCTTTCTAGCAGAAGTGATTTTTTACAAAGAGGTGTGTCCTGCCAAAAGGAAGTGGGTCAGAAGTTTCAAGTGGAAAGTGTCAGCCTGCTTGTTTTTCCCCCATAGCATAAATGAAAATTTCTGTGGTTGGCAAGAAAAGGTCAGGCCATAAGCCTTGGGATAGCTATTGCTGCTCCTGAACAACTAAATTTATATTCTTTAGCATATTTAGCAAACAATGTGTTCAAACTTAAAAAGGATAAATCCCCCAGAATTAGAGCAGCTGTCCTTTTCCTTCTTCCTCTTATAGCTAGTGAAGATGTCCTTTGCCCTACTTCAGATTCAGGTCCTTTGTTGAATGCTCAAAAAGTATATGGTGAGGGAGCTTTTAAACACTTTAGATCTTGAGTTCTTGCCTTCTGCATGTTCATGTTATATAACAACTTGGGTTTTTCTAATTAAGTTAGTTTTATATAAATAGCATATTTTTAACACAAACTGCCTTAAACAAATGTCCACCTCCTTCAGCCATGGTTGTTGCAGAGATGCATTCAAATTAGTCTTCCAGATCTGACCTGTGCCTCTTTCTCTTGGCATCCTCGAGTTCTAGTTGGCTTCTCCAGTCGGTTCCATCCTTAGGCCAGTTGTGGACTAAAGTCTCGTTGACTGGGGAAATATGCTTTCTATAATCTGCTATCAGATAGGCCTTCAAGCCCTCTTTACTATGTTGAAGATAATGTTATGGGATGTCAAATAGGAGCCAACTCTCCAGTCAGTTTTCAGAGGCTGTAAATCTGAAGTCTGTAACACGGGAAGAGATTGTCCATCTCTCTTCTGAGGAGCAGCTGATAAGACTCAAACCTCCTGCCTTTGGGTTGGCAGTGTAACACTTAAGTGACCAGACTATAAAACAGTCTTGAAATGGACATTGAATCTACCAGTCAAATCCCTGGATTGTGCAATTGTTTTAGCTCTTGTCTGCTAGTTGACAGTTTGGTAGGTCAGATACATCCAGGGGCACTTCAGAAGGAAGGCCCAACAGTCTGCTTTTGAAAGGACAAAAGCTTAAAAATCCCAAGGAGCCCTGACCCTCTTAGAGTTGCCATGAGTCTGAATTGTATCTACAGTAGCTAACAACAGTATTGCCCAGATGCTGAATAGGCAAAGAATATCTTTCTACTCCTATTAAATATCCTCTTTCCCATTTCTCTGTAAGTAGCCCTTTGCCTTTAACCATATGCCAGAAAGGAAATTTGAAGGAGAAACTGCAATAAATGCACTAACTAAACTCAGAAAGAATTATCAATGCTGATGTAATTTTCTTCTCTTCTAACCTCTTCATTTACATACATCCTATGTTATAATAGTTTTTCTTTGTAATTAAATCTTCCTTCTCCCATATGACTATTTAGCTACATGTCCTTTTTTTTTTTTTAAGTGTAGGTTTCTTTTTTCTACTCTATGACTCAAAGAATATATCTTGGCTTCTGCTACTTTCCAGAACCCACAGTAAGAAAGCCACATGTATAAGTCCAAATTTGTAGCTGAAAACCTAGATTTGAGAATATTATCCCCAAAGAAGGAATGTTTTTATGAAGACTTCTGTTTGATGCCAAGAACCTGTTTTTGTACATTCATTGTTCTGAATTTTCCTGTTTAAGTGGCATGTGAGAGGGGGTGGCTTTCTTCTTCCAACTCTGATGCATGCTGGCTTTTCTTTCAGGGGTGCAGATTGCTGGAAGGCATGCGGTGGTGGTGGGGCGCAGTAAAATAGTTGGTGCCCCAATGCATGACTTGCTTCTGTGGAATAATGCCACAGTGACCACCTGCCACTCAAAAACTGCAAATCTGGATGCAGAGGTAAGGGGTCTAGAATAGGGTAGAAGGTGGGTGTATATTCTCTTCCTATAGTGAGAAGGACTAACAATAAACTGTCAGACACTGCTGTGTACTTACCCCCATTCTCCAATTCAACCCCTTTAACAGTTCCATGGTTCTTGTCTTAGTTTACCAAATGAGGAAACACACTTAGATTAAAAACTTGACAAAGTTTACTTAACTAGCCAGCAGAGGGGCCAGGATTCAAGCGTTCTGAAGGTAAACACTACTCTCTAGTTCCAGAATATTTCCATTACTCCAAAAGAATCCTTGGTACCCCTTAAATAGCCTCTTCCTATTTCCTCCATCCCTTCCATCAATAATTTTTGACACCTGGCCCCTTCATGGTCCATAAGACATACCAGTACAGATGCTTATATTGCGCCCTGGCAGTCAGATTACATATTCCTCCCAGAGAGGGTCTTGGGGTAGAAATGCTCCTAAAGCCTGCGCACAGTGATCCTGTAGCATCTGTGGCAGCGTGTTCTGACCCCTGTATAGGATTCCTGGACCCAAGAAGTTTATATTTGCATGTCCCTGGTGAGAAGCACATGGAATCCTGTTAGGACGATTAGTGGTTTGAAACTACCAGCTGATACACAAGAGAAGAGTTATCTAAGGATTTAATTTTTCTTCATTTTAACTGGAGAGTACAAATTTTCTCAATTTTTTGTTTTATTGCTACTTGGTATTGTGGGTGTATGATGTATGTGTGTGCATGCACTTTGCTTATAAATCTTGGTAACTTAAGAAAAGAGTCATCAGCCTTCTGCTTCTAAAGATTACAGCGTTGGAAACCCTGTGAGGCAGTTCTTTGTCCTCTAGTGTCATGATCGTTTAAGATCAACTTGATGGCAATGGATTTGTTTTGGTTGGTTGATAGTATGATTTCTTAAATATGGGGGGAGAGCTGCTCAGTTATGCTCTGTGGTAGGTGGTAGTACCCACGTTTGCTGGGAGAGGGCACCATCTCCAAGGTTACATGCCGTAGCCTGCGGCTCCAAGCCTATATTCATCTGCTCTAAAGGCTCTCATCAGTTTCCCCATTCAGTAAAATCTGCAGTGAAAGGCCATTTCCCAGCAGGCTGTGGGAATGAGTGCAGGGGTTTAACTTGTTTAATATTTGATCCAGCTGTGAACCGAGTACAGTATTCAACGGTTTCCTTCCCACTTTTAGATTTTTGTTTATTCGCTCATTTCATTGATTCATTTCTGAAGTCTGAATTCCCTTTTCCCAGGTGAATAAAGGGGATATTCTTGTGGTTGCCACTGGTCAGCCTGAAATGGTGAAAGGGGAGTGGATCAAACCTGGGGCAATAGTCATTGACTGTGGAATCAATTATGTTCCTGGTAAGTGTTCCTGCAGGGGGTCAGGAGGGGGGGATATACAGAATGTGATTTCTGATGAAGTGGGTCAAGAAAGGGTTATATTGGAGTTTGTCAAATAAAACCTGAGAAATAACTTCTTGTCCCCATTTTGTACTTATAATTGTAAAGGGTTAGTGATTGGCTTGCCTAAGGATGTTGTTATTATGTGCTATTGTGTCGCCTGTGACTCATAGCAATTCTATGTACAACAGCCCTAAACCCTGCTTTGTCCTGTGCCAATCTTATTGTCCCTGATACACCAACCCCCATTACCCTAGTCACTGAATTAATCCATCTCATCAAGGGTCTTCCTCTCTTGCACTGTCCCTCCACCCACTCAAGCATGATGTTTCTCTCCAAGGACTGATCCTGCCTTGCAACATACCCAAAGTATGTCACTAAAAGCTTCAGAATCCTTGCTATCAAGGAGCAGCCTGGCTTCACCCTCTCCAAGACAAACTTGTTTGTTCTCTTAGCAGTCCATGGTACATTCAGTACTCTTCTCCAGCACCACAGCTCAAAGGCATCAATTCTCCTTCTATCATCCCTAGTCATTGTCCAGCTTTCTGATGTATAGCAAGTAATTGCAAAGACCATGGCCTATATCAGGTGCACTTTAGTTTCCAGACTGACATTGTTGCTCTTCAGTACTTTGGAGAGATCTCTAACAGAAAACTTTCCCAATGCAATTAGTCTTTTAGTTTTTCTGGCTGCTGGTACCGAGAGTGTTATTTGTAGAGCCAAGCAAACTAAAGCTCTTAAAGTCTCAGTCTCTTCACCATCTATCATGATGCTGCCAATTGTCCCAGTGGTGAGAATCTTTGTTTTCTTGATATTAAGTTTCAATCCATATTGAAGGCTGCAGTCCTTGACCTTCTGCAGCAAGTGCTGCAGGTCCTCAGTTTCAGCAAGCATGGTTGTGTTATCTGCATAATGCAGATGGTTAATGAATCTACCTCCAATCCTGATCCCACATTTCTCCTCATAGAGCTCAGACTCCCAGATAATCTGTCCTGCATATATATTGAAAACATAATGGATTTCTCCTCATAGAACTCAGACTCCTGGATAATCTGTCCTGCATATATATTGAAAACATAATGGAGATAAGACACATCCTTGATGTACACCCTTCCCAGTCTTGAACCATGCAGTGTTGCCTTGCTCTGTTCTGACGACTGCCACCTGGTCCAAGTATAGGTTTTGCATAAGCATAATCAAGTGTTCTGGGATTCCTGTTCTTCTCAGAGTCAGCCACAGTTTGTTATGATCCACACAGTCAAACTCCTTTGCAAAGGCAGTGAAACACTGCTTTCGTGAATCCTCTGGTACTCTCTGCTTTCAGCCAAGATCCATCTGACATGAACTATAATATTCTTAGTACCACGGCCTCTTCTAAACCCAAACTGCACTTCAGACAGTTCTCTGTTGATGTGCTGTTCCAGTTGTTTTTGGATAATTCTCAGCAGAATGTTGCTTGCATGGATATCAATGATATTGTTCGATAATTTCCACACTCTGTTGGGCCACCTTTCTTTGGAATGGGAACAAAATCAAATCTCTTCCAGTCAGTTGGCCAGGTGGTTGTCCTCCAGATCTCTTGGCACAACTTGGTGAGCACGTCTAGGGCAGTGTGTGTTTGTTGAAATGTCAATTGGTATGCCATGAATTTCTGGGGCTTTGTTTTTTGTCAATTCTTTCAAAGCCGCTTGAACTTCTTCCTTCATCACTGTGGGCTCTTGCTCATACATTGTTTCATGAAATTCTTCTGTGTCTGCTAATTCCTTTTGGTACAATGACTCTGTATACTCTTTCCATCTTTTTTTAATGCTTTCTAGATCAATTAATATTCTGCCCAAAGCATCCTTAATTAAGTATTGCAACTCAAGGCTTAAATTTGTTCTTTAGTTCCTTCAGCTTAAGAAATGGTAAATGGTGTAGTTCATACATAAGCAGGTTCATCTGATGTCAGAACCTGCCATTTTAACCACTGTACTAGGAAGCTCCTGACATGAAGCTGGAGATGAGAACATTCTCTATCTGACAGGTGATGGGTGGGTTTAAAATAATAGTATAATCCTTGCAGTGTGCAGTTTGAGTCCAGAAGAGGGACTCTTCTTGCCAATGATATTCTTGAAGAACTTTCTTAACAAAGATGTTTGACCTGGCATTTCCACCAGAGAAGAGAAATGTCTTCTCTTCTCCGTTGTATCACTACAGACTATTACCCTTTAATTCAGCTTAGAAACTTCTTAATCCTTTCTCCAGCCAGTCCCCCCTCATACCCACTGCATGCTTGTGCCTTGTGACATGCACTGAGAGCACCTTTCCCCACTCTGCTTCCAGGTTCCTTAGCCTCACTCTGGTTCTGTCTCACTTCTGTAACCTTTTCCTCACTCCCTTCGTGAGTACCTGCCTTTTGTCAAACTTGTGTTTCCCTGCACATGCTGTTTGTTCTTTGCACTTTCTATGCTGACATTATTAGTAGAGCAGGCTGTCTCTGCATCAGGAAATTTTTCACAGATGAAATTTGAAATGTCTGCATAGTTACTTCAGATTCACCAAAGTAACAGCTTTCACTTGAACACCTGTTTCTGTGAATCGAGTGTCATACCAGACCCCTGGCTAGACAATTAAGGCTCAACTTTGACCTTCAACTTTAGCCACTTCCTTCTTACCTCCTGTGTGTCTATAATGCTGCTTTCTTCCTGCCAAGGACTGTCTGATGTCTGCTCAACAGGGATGAGCTCTTCTGAAAATCCTTCTCTTTCCCTCCCTTCCTACAGAACTCTGTATTTGTTTTATTGTATGTGTCTGATAATTTAGTTCTGTTTCTTTCTCCTGAGGTTGTGTTTTGTTTTTCATGTAGGCAGTAGTCTTGTGCCAACAAAACCAAACCAGTTTTGTTGGATCAGTTCTTTTCACAGTGACCCCTTGTGTTTCGGAGTATAATAGTCCTCCTCACATGGTCATGACTATGGCCTTTCTAAAACATATTTCCAGGCATTTCTTCCATTGTGGTGGCTTTGACCTCCTAACCTTTCAGTTAGCAGTTAGGTACCTAACCATTTGTGCCACCTAGGGATTCTTCTGTGCTACAGTGTCCGGCCTCAGGCTTTCTCATTACTAACACTCAGTATTGTTGAATTGTCGAAGGGAATTATAACAAGAATAATCTTTTTTCCTCCCTTTTCATCTTAGATTTGAAATACAGACATTAAGCTGCCAGGAACATTAGTCACTGTCAAGTCTTCACCATTTTTAACCTCCCTCCCACTCTCCCTACCATGCTTTTAAGACAGTAGCTCATAATTGATCGTTCATTCTCTTATAGTGTAATTATCTAATGAGTGATCAAGAAATTGCTCTCCTACAAAGCCTCACTTTGCATTCTTGCCATATGACATTCAAGCTCCTTCTGCTTCTGGAATATGTTTCTGCTTTTGGCTTTCTTTGTATCAGATACGAGAGATGGCAAAAGACAAGACTGAGTGGAGATTCTGAGTCTTGCTGATGGATTTGAAGTGTTGACTTAAATGCAGAGTGTACCACCCTATTCACCTTTATTCCCCACAGAAGTGGTAAAGTATGTGTAACAGAAGAGCACTGTCTCCGCTCCTGACAGACTTTTTATTTTTACTGGTCTTGGGTATAAAGGTGAATAGAGATTGATAAGGCTGCTCTCTATGGTTCCCAAAGGTGGCAGAATCACCAGCGAGTTACAGAGTCATTACATGCTGGGCTAGGAAGCCTAAAAGTTCACCACAGATAATTCCGTTTAAAAGCACCACATCCTATAATTGTGACTACATTTTGTTTATATTAATTTAAATGGTTTATATGGTATTCTTGGGGTTAACATCATAAGTCACTTGCCAAATTAAGAGTTGTTGTTATGTGCTATTGAGTCTTCTGCCACTCATAGTGACCCTGTGTACAACAGCTATGAAGCCTGCCCTGCCCTGAACCAATCTCACTGACCCCCATTACTCCAGTTACTATATCAATCCGTCTCATCCTGGGTCTTCCTCTCCTGTGCTGCCCTCCATCCTTCCAAGCATAATAGCCTTCTCCAAGGACTGGTCCCTCCTGGTCATGTGCCCAAAGTATGTGAGACAGAACTTCAAAATTCTAACTTATAAGGAGAAACTTGGTTTCGTCCTCTCCAAGACAGACATATTTGTTTTTTGGTGGTCCATGGTATGTTTAAGACTCTTTTTCCAGCACCACAGCTAAAAAGCATCAATTCTTCTTCTGTCATTCTTAGTCATTGTCCAGCTTTGTGATGCCAGCAAGTATTTGCAAAAACCATGGCCTGAAATCAAACACACCTTAGTCTCTAGACTAACATTGTTGCTTCTCAGTGCTCTGCAGAGGTCCCTGACAACAGATTTTCCTAGTCTTTTGATCTCCTAACTGCTGATTCCAAGAGTGGAGCCAAGTAAGCTGTCATTGTTAACAACATCAGTCTCTTCTCCATCTGTCATGGTGCTTGCTGCCAGTTAGGATAGTGGTGAGAATCTTTGTCTTCTTGATGTTGAGCTTCAACCCATATTGAAGACTGCAGTCCTTGAACTTCTGCAGCAAGCGCTTCAGGTCTTCCTCATTCTCAGCAAGCAAGGTTGTGTCATCTGCATAATGTAGATTGTTGATGAGCCTTTCTCCAATTCTGATACTGTATTCTTCCTCATAAAGCCCAACCTCCTGAAATATCTGTTCTGCATATAGATTGAAATGGTATGGAGACAGGATACACTCCTTTCCTTGCTTTGTTCTGAGGACTGCTTCCTGATTCAAGGATAGCTTTTGCATAAGCACAATCAAGTGTTCTGTGATTCCCATATTTCTCAAAGTTATCCAGAACTTGTTATGATCCACACAGTCAAACGCCTTTGCACAGTCAGTGAAACACAGACATTCCTCTTGTGCTCTTTGCTGTCTGCCAAGATCCATCTGACATTGGCAATAATGTCTCTAATGCCACGACCTTCTAAATCCAGCTTGTATTTCTAGTAGTTCTCTTTTGATGTACTGTTCGAGTCGTTTTTGCATTATCTTCAGGATTTTGTTTGTACGTGATAGCGATATTGTTCACTAATTTCCACACTCTGTCGGGTCACCTTTTTTGAATGGGAATAAGTACAGATCTTCCAATCATTTGGCAAAAAAAAAAAAATAATAATAATTTTAAAGAGTCAAGTGCAGAGCAAAAACTTTTGGTCTGGGAAGTATGGAAGTGTTCTTCTTGGCCTGAGAAAGGGTGGCTGCTGTTAGGTACCATCGAGTTGACTAAAGCAAACTATAAATAACAGATTGACCTGAACACTGGCCTAAACTGCACCTTCCTTGTTATCTCTAATATGCTTGAGCCTCTTGTTACAGTCACTGTGTCAGTTTATCTTTTTGAAGATTGTCTTCTTTCTCTGACCTTCTACCTTTCCCAACATGTTACCTTTTCCCAAGGACTAGCCCCTCCTGACAATATGCCCAAGGTAGGTGAGACAAAGTTTCACCAGCCTTGCCTCTCAGGAGCACTCTGCCTGCCCCTCCTCCAAGACAGACTTGTCTGTTCTTGAGAATGGTTATATGAGTGGTAAATGTTTATGGAAGGGCTGTAAAATGAGGGGCCAAATTCTTCACTCTATCCTAGTTCAGTTCAGTTACTTCTACACTGGAGTTCCCACATTTAATATGAAGGAATCATTGCCGGTGTTTTTTTCCTATGTATAATTTTTCAGTGGAAGGGAAATGCCAAGCCAAAGGCCTGATAACCAGGATGTCTGTGCGTTACTAAAACCATATGCATCATCCCAGAGGTATGCGGTTCAAATCCACCAGATGCTCTGCTGGAGAAGGAGGGGCAATCTCCTTCTGTACCAGTCAGATCCAATTTGATGGTACACGCACAAAATATAAAATGGGGGGGGGACAATACCCATATGCATCAGCTCAGGAATGCTTGCTTTTTCCATTGAAAAATTACACTCTCCATGAATTATGATACATGTATCAGGGAACACTGAAGTGAATCCTACTGGTGTTAGTGGTAGGTTGTTAGGGTGTAAAGCTGAGCTGCAGGGTTTCTTTCTGTAGTTATCGATGCATCTCCTGCCTGGTGCAAGACTGAAAAATTGCTATGAATAAGTAGAGCAGCAATGGATAATTTAAGCTCATGTCAGAGCTTAACTGTTAAAACCTGTTCAAAGGGCAAAATACAGCTCCTTGGCATTTTGCAACTTGACTTTAGGAGTTTGGTATGAGGAAATGGTCTGTCCTAGCCTGCTGTTTTGTAATCTTCTAGAAACCTGAAACTATCCCAAGGGATTATTTTTACAAACGCATTTTAGTTATACAAGTACATATTAAAGCTTGAGGCTGTTCTGATGTGGTGGGTTATCAGAAACTATTAACATTAATGCAACTAAAGTAGGTATAAAACCCCCCACTGGCTTTAAAAAAACCAATAACTTGAGCATCTAGAATGAGAAGAAAAATACTGGTTTTTGGAGAATGTTTCCAGTTTCACGAAAGTGCTGTTATATTATTTACTTATCGATCACCTTGTGAAATTTAAAAACCAAAACAACACAGTTGGCTGTCAAATCATCTCTTAACTCCTGATGACCCCATGTGTATCAGACTACAGCTTTGCTCTATAGAGTTTTCCATAGTTGGTTTTTTGTGGGTTTGGAATGTGTGGTTTGTTTGGTGTTATTTTTTTTTAAATAGATTACCAGGATTTTTTTTCCTTTGTGCCTTTCAGTGGATTCCAACCTCCAACCTTTAGGTACGCAGCCAAACTGACTAGTAGTGTTATTTTGCATCTTTAGGTTTCTGGTGAATGTGGAGCCTCCTGGAGTTGTGGACTAACAGCAGAGTTGATTCTAGCCTAGGTTCCTTTATTTCTGGCTTCTTGGCTACTCCTGAAGCTTCCTGTCTCATTTGTGGAGACTGGATCCCAGAGGAGTGCTCAGGTGACTCCGGTTCCACCAGTTCCTGCCTTAGAAGCCTCAGTGCTACAAGGTCTAGTACTAACCCCCAGCCCTGCCTGGAAGTGCACCAGAGCCAAGTGTAGGATGTTCTTTGTGCTAGGAGAAATGATGCATCATTGGGTTTTGTTCTCTTGAATAGCTTTTCTGTGCTGCTAAGATTTGTAGTTGTTCTTGTGTCCTTTTAAGGAAAGTGTAATTATATTCTTTGCTTTCAGCATATGTTTAAGTAGTTGCTCGTCTTTGGAATTGGATGTTGAATTGTTCCTCCTGCTCACGCACAGAGCTTAGAAAATGCTGACAGTTGCTGTAGAAACGGTTATCTGGCAGCTGTGACATAGTTGGAGATTTATGCTCCCCCAAAAATTCCTTTGTAGACCTCGCAGATTAGCATTTTAAAAGGTATTCTTTGTATATCGGCTAGTTGGTTTTAAGAAACAGTTGGTATTTTATTTGCCACCTGATAGACTGCAAAAGGATTCTCTTCTGATTTCTAAAAGCCCCAAAGACTCAAGCATCTTGTGAATTTTTTGCAGATAAAAGCATTTTCTCCCTTGGAAATAGCCAACACCTCTCATCCTCTAGTGTTTGAAAGTGAGTCTCATGAAACTACAAAACCTAATTTCTTTTTCTGATTCTTTAAAAACATACATACTTTTTGTATGTTGATCTTGTATCCTGCAAATTTTCCGAGTCCCTTTATTAGTTCTAGTAGCTTTTTTTGGTGGCTTCTTTGAGATTTTCTACCCACAGGAGCATGTCATCTGAAAAGGGATCATTTCTATTTCATTTGTTTGTTGGCTACCTGAATGTCTTCTTTACTATATTGTCCTTTCATGTTTTCTGCCCATTTTGTTATTGGCTTATTTGTCTTTTTCTTGTTAAGATGATGGAATTGTCTATAAATATTAAGAGGTGAAGCCCTTATCGGATGTCAAATTACCGAATTATTTGCCCAGTCTTTAGCTTCTGCTTTGGAGAAGTCTTTTGATCCACGTAAGGATTTCATTTTTAGGAGGTCCCAATCATCTGGAATTTGACTAGATGATTGAGACCTCCTAAAAAATTTCAATACCGTTGGGCCCCCAGGCCTGCGGCCCTCTAGCCAAAGGTTAATTGATTTGGGGATGAATACTCTTTAAAGTGTACAGCAGTGGTCTAATTATTGTTCTGAAGTAACTTGGAGATGTTGTGATGCTGAACAGTCTGCCATGGGTGTGTCAGACACCATAATGATTACCCATCATGGACAGTGTTTGATGAAGTTCCCAGATTGATTCAGGTTTAGAAGCAGGAGTGGCACTTCTTAAACCCATGCCTCTGGGAACTCTTTCAACATAGAAAAACAATGATAGTTCTAGAATAGGATTCAGGTGTTTTGTTCATAGTGTCGCTATGAGTTGTACTCGATTCGATGACACCTAAGAACAGCAGCAACAACCCTTGGTATCAGCAGTAAGGAAATCAGGAGACAAAGTGCACTAGGAAAGTCTGTAGTCCCAGACCTCTCTAAATTATTGAGGAGCAATGATGTCAATTTGAGAACTAAGAGGCCATGGTCCTCTTAGTCACTTGCTGTGCACTTGAGATCTGGACCGTGAATAAAGATGACGAGAGAATTGATGCCTCTGAACTGTGGTGTTGGGGAAGAGTACTGAATATTCCATGGACTGCTAAAAAACAAACAGATGTATCTTGGAGAGGGTGCAGCCAGAGTACTGCTTGAAGGCAAAGATAATAAAGCTTCATCTCACATACTTTGGGCATGTTGCTAGGATAGGCTATTCCTTGAAGAGGAACATGATGATTGGAAAGATGGAGGGTTGGTGAAGGAGAGAAAGACCCTCAATGAGATGGATTTAACACAGTGACTACAACAATGGGCTCAAATGCGTCAGAGATTGTGAGGATGGCACTGGATAGGACAAGGCTCAGATCTGTTGTTCATAGAGTTGCCGTAAGTCATGCTTGATGACACCTAACAGCAACAATAATCATCTCATTTATCCACTGTTTATTATACATTTTCACTTATATTTGATAGCCCATTTATGCCATAGTTTAGCATTCCTAAGTTTGTCCCAATTTTTGCTTTGATATTTCTGATTTTGTGCCTAAGTCTTTGATGCATCCTGAGTTGGGTTTTGTGTGTGATATTACGGTGTGAGTCTTATCTCCACTTTCTGCAGAAAAATACCCATTTAAGCCAGCACCATTTCTTAAAGAGGCTGTCTTTTCCCTACCTAATGGATTTCATCTCATTGTCAAAGATCAGTTATTCATAGGTGGATGGATTTTTTTCTAAATTCTCAATTCTGTCCCATTGGTCTGTGGACCTGTCGCTGTGCCAGTACCAGGCTGTTTTGATTGCTGTGGCTGTGGATTAAGTTTTGAGATCAGGAAGTTTAAGACCCTCTGCTTTATTTTTCTCCAGTATTACTTCGTTTATCCGAGAGCTCTTTCCTTTCCATATTAAGTTGGTAATTACTTTTCAATCTCTGAAAAATGATAAGGGATCTGAATTGAGGCAAAAACCTGATTTCTTTTTAGCATCTAGAACAAGCTGCTGATTATTGAATACTTAGAAACAAACATCAGGATCGCAATTCTGAGACTTAGTTTTGGTTTTTACCTCATTGACCAGATGACACAAAACCAAATGGGAAAAAAGTTGTGGGTGACGTGGCATACGACGAGGCCAAAATGAGAGCAGGCTTCATTACCCCTGTTCCTGGTGGTGTCGGGCCCATGACGGTGGCAATGCTAATGCAGGTACTGGCGAATAAAGGTTTCTGTATAATAGCTCTGAGAAACTGGTTGGGTTCAAGTAAAATGCAAAATTCAGGTCAGTGCTTTCCCTCAAGTGGAAGTGTCCTAGGACATACTAGGAAGCTCAGTAAGGAAGTGACTCTGCTGAAAGAAAGAAGAGTGGGGGGAGGAAGAACGAGAGTGGGGTCTGTTGCATTAATAGAGGCAAGGAGCGATGGCACTGTTCTTTCTTTGGAGTATGCAACCCAAGGGGGAGAAGTCCCGCAAGCCCAGGGGTGCTGCTCGCACTGCTGTCTTGCTTGCTCCTTTTTCACACATGTAAGCAGCCCCAAGACACTGAAGGCATCTGTAGTCGCCTTCATATTCAGGCACATTTGCAGGTAGGTCATGAAGCAGGTAGTTTTGTGATACAGCTGGAAGGACCTGGGGTTTGGAGTAGAGGTGGGGGTTAAAGATAATTTTTTAACGTCCCATTTGTGTCATTTTGCTTAGAGCACAGTGGAGAGTGCAAAACGTTTCCTGGCGAAATTTAAGCCAGGAAAGTGGGTGATTCAATATAACCACCTTAACCTCAAGACACCTGTTCCAAGGTAAGAAGAAAGCGTTACCGATTTAAAACATGGGGTTGTTGGGTTTTAGCTGGCAGAATGCGTGGATACACGTGTGCATCCTTTGAAAGCATGCTCAATGGTTGGAGGCAGGGATGCTGCTGTTGTTGGGTGCTGTAGCGTTGATTTCCACAGACACTGACCCCATGGTTAGAATAGAACTGTCTGCTGGGGTTCCGTGGGATGGAATCTAGATGGAAGCAGACTGTATAGCAGGGTCTTTTCTGCCATGGAGCCACTGGGCAGATATGAACTGCCAACTTTTTTGGTTAACAGCCTAAAACTTAATTATGGTGCCACCTGAGTATTGCTAGTGTAGGATTAATGAAATTCAGTAGATGACTATTGATGTTGATTTTTCTACATTTTTTTCAAGCGACATTGATATATCACGATCTTGCAAACCAAAGCCTATTGGTAACTTGGCTCGAGAAATTGGTCTGCTCTCCGACGAGGTAGAACTGTATGGTGAGACAAAGGCCAAAGTGCTGCTTTCGTCACTAGAGCGCCTGAAGCACCAGCCAGATGGGAAATACGTGGTGGTGACTGGGTATGGCTTGGCTTGGCTTTGTTGACTGACTCTATATTGCTTTGATCGCAGATGTTATTGCCAGGAGTTGCATTTGGACTTAGCAAATATATGTGAAAGGATCCTTTCTTTTGGTTTTGAGAATGTCACATATAGTTTTATCTCACTTTATCCTTACAATGCTGTGACAGAGAGAGTTATTGTTGTTGGGTGCCGTCGAGTATAACTCATGAATCCTGTGAACAAAAGATCTGAACCCTATTCCATCCTGTGCCATCCTCACACATCATGACACACAAGAGCCCATTGCAACAGTCACTATATCAGTCCACCTGGTTGAGGGTCTTCCTCTTTTTCACTGACCCTCTACCCTCTCAACATCATGTCCCTCTCCAAGCAGATAGCACCTCCTAGAATATGTCCAAAGTATGTGCAGCAAAGCCTCATCATTCTTGCCTCCACAGAGCATTCCAGCTACCCCCTCTCCAACACAAAAGTAAAAGTAGATGATAATTTTTCCAAGATGAGAAGATTGGTCAAGTTATCCAGCTAGTTAGTGGCAAGGGTAGGTCTTAAAAACCTGCTCTTTAGATAGAATTGGTTGGTTGGTTAGTTGGTTGGTTTTGTTTTTTTAATTGTGATTTTAAACAAAAGTTTATAGAAAGGTTGGGTTCTCATTGATATGCATTTTCCTCCCTTCCACTTTCCCCAGTTCACTTTGTAATGCACTTCTTGTTCCAGATTAGAATTGGGTTTTTTTAACCTAAAATGTATTATTACTCTATTTAGTAGTCATTTTTATTGCTGGGCTAGTGTTTGAGTTTCAAATTGAGAAGGTTACAGTTGTACCTCTCTACAGGGTGAAGTATATTTGCTCTTGACAGAGAGAAGAGCCAAAGTACAGCAGCCTATTTAAGATATTGAGGAAATTACAGCTAAGTGTCTTAGAAAAGATTCTTTTCCGGCCTTTGGTCTTCCCTATTATTTGGATTAGAGTCATTCTGTAAGATCTGCTAGGTTTGATTTGATTCACATCAGCTTGATCCTATAAATAAAACTTTTCTCTCCTTTGCTTTCATCTTGAAGGATAACCCCAACGCCCTTGGGAGAAGGGAAGAGCACCACGACAATCGGACTGGTGCAAGCCCTCGGTGCCCACCTGCATCAGAATGTGTTTGCATGCGTGCGACAGCCTTCTCAGGGTCCAACCTTTGGAATAAAAGGTACCGGTGGGCTAGACCCAGATCATCAGTGAATGTGTAATAAGTCTTCACGTCTTCTCAGCAGTAGGGAAGAAGAGCACTTTTCACACATCCTTATTGTGTTGCTTCTGGGGAAAACTTTCATGAAATCATCCCAATCCAATCCTGCTGTAACTATTAAACATTGAACAGATTCCCCATGATGAGTAATACATAGTTTATAGGGCTTCTGTTTGACCCTAACAGTAACAAAGAAAATCATATCTAGTGTTTAGCATGCTGATTATTCAGAGGCAGTCAAACTCCATATGTATTTCACTCTTTTGGGAATAAGGAAAGCGTGCCTTTTACTGAGTGTGTGCTTCACACCAGATTTTGTGCTAATCGTTTTGTGCACATTATTTTATGTTATCCTCCAATTTAAGGTTGTGGTATCACCATTTTATAGTAGCGGCAACTGAGACTTCAGAAGTGACTTGATCAGGTACCATTATAACGTATCACAATGAGATCCCCACAGCTTTATTACAGAGCTTAAAATTTTATCTATTTCCATTTCTAATATGATACTGAGAGCTCTGGTGGCATAACACAAAGCCCATGCCTCTAGCGGTTTGTTACCTACTAGTGGCTCTGAGAAAGATGGGCAGGCTGCTCCTGTGCTCTTTAGTGCCTTGGAAACTTGTTGTCAAATCAGCTGTGGGTAGGCTCTAACTCAACAGAAAGAACAGAGAGAATACGATGCTATCAATACAGTATTCTTCTGATTTTTCTTTTTTTTTTATGATTACAGTAAAAAAAAAAAAACAAACCAGAAAAACACCCTAATGTGTTTTTATTTATAAAGACTCTTTTTATTATCACATGTCACTCAGTTACAAGAGTTTATGGACCGTTTATACCTAGTGGATGCTTTAAATATGTGATGTTTTATGACAACTAAACTCCAATATAAAGGAAAATATTTTTAAAATCTACTAGGATCTTTCCTCAGTCTTTGATTGGTATAAATTGGGACAATGAAGACATCCTGCCTGTTACAAGACACTGGACAAATGGAGCTTAGATGGAGTGTTCCAAATAGTTAATGACTCAGACTTGTTTGCTTATTACTGGTAGGAACTCCAAGACAGACATAGAACAAAGAGTTGTGAGAATTGTGGTCAGATAGAGACTAGTTGTTGTGTATGTGCCTTCATGTTGGAGATGACACTCCAGCAGGTTTTTAGAAACAGTTAATCATAGGGGAGGAGATTACCCATCCTTCTCTCTCAGAATAGCTGGTGGATTCCCCTTCTGATTATTTAAAAACACAGCATTAGCAATCATACTTTCTTTAGCTTCTGAACCCTACAGTACCACAAACGTAGGTCTTCTTATTGGTCACAAGTATGCTCTTAAAGAGTTGCCTCTCACTTACATGACGTTAGAGTGGTCACCTGTTCCATTTGTTTTAGGGAGTTCTACCAGTAGGAACCCAGGGTACACACCTATGCCGTCTGCCTATTATTTTGTTAGGTTTTATAAATGTTTTGGCTCAGATCTGCTTTTGTACTTTTTGAAGCAATTCTTTCTCAGCTTCAGAGTCAGTCTTTTCCCTTCTGCTCTTTAAAACCCATTGTTACTTTTCTCTTGTTCTGAATTACCTCATTGCATAGTCTGAGCCTTTCAAAAGCCACAAAATCTTTACCCCAAATTGGCCTTGATCTCACTGATAACCTGGTAAACTTGATATTTCACCCCCCTTCTGGCCTTTGGATAATAATACAAATGGATCAGCTTAATCTAGCATTTGCACTGTTTTCTGACATGCTTCCTGTTGAAAGGAAATGCATTCTCTGTATTTATATGAAGTGTATATTTAAATACTTCCCCTCCTTCTAATGTCAAAATAACACTTAAGAAAGTAGGAAACGAAACCAGTTTGCCAGTCTGAGTCTTTTAATAAATGTTAGCAACCATAGGAGGAAACTGCTTATAAAGGCAGTGTATTTATTTGTATTCAAGATTTTTTTCACATTAAACTGAGATTTCAATAGAGACATTGTACAACTTAGAGCAAGTCTTTTAGCTTGGTTAAAGAAAACTAGGTGAGAAAATCTATCTAAATGGTTGTAAAAAGTAAATAAGTAATAGACTTAGTAGTTCAAAAAAAAATAAGCCTGATTTACCTTTTCTCTTTTTCATTTTGAAAGTATACAAATCATATTTCATTTCTAGTTATTTGTAGACATTTTGTTTTATAATATTCATTCTAAATGATTAATGTAATTAGTTATCATGCCCAATCAAACCCTTATTATTTATTACCTTTACCTGATTTTTCTATTAATTTTTGCTTTTAATTGGCTTCCAAGTCTGGAAGGAGCATGCTTAACTTGAGTCCTCACCTTGGCCTGTCCTCTAGGTGGTGCTGCGGGCGGTGGATACTCACAGGTTATTCCTATGGAAGAGGTAATGTATTCTGGGGTTTGATTGAATCTGATCCTTCATTACAGTTTCTCCCTCTAGAGATTTAACTTCTTCTGTAGAGTCCTTAGTAATTAAGAGACGTATTCCTCAGGAGACATAACACTTAAAGGGAAAAATATCTGACTTTGTAGATTTATGGGACAGCGTGGGATTTTTGACAGGAATTTCATTTTAGCTTTTAGTGGGATTGCTAGTTTTAAGCAAGTGATCAAATGAATCATGAGAGTGGGAACAACTAATGCCCAGGGAATTCAGAGTAAGAACTATGGAAATGAAAGCAGTGGGTACAGACCTATATAGACTTCTTGTGTTGTAGAGCGTGCCATCTTGCTCACTGCTGCAAGGACAGTGAGTGTGTCCTCTGTGATCCAGTGTTGCTGTTGACCCAGGGGCACGGAGTTTGTGGTTTCTGGACATGTCATTTGGGGGAAACCACAAATTCAGAGTTGGGGAGGAGTTTCTTCCAAGTACAGTCAGTAATCTGTGTTTTCAAGAGCTGCCTGCCTTTGATGTTTGTGCTCACTTGCTGCCTCTCATCTCCCTTGGCTTTATCCTGGGGGATGGTTTGGTCGTTCTCAATGGAGATTGAAAAGATACAGAGAGGACAGAAGACTGATGTGGCTTTCATTTTTTTGTAGTTTAATCTTCACCTCACAGGTGACATCCATGCCATCACTGCAGCCAATAACCTTGTTGCTGCAGCCATCGACGCCCGGATATTCCATGAACTGACACAGACAGACAAGGTGAGGTGCTGCTGCTCAGTGAGTCTCGTGAGTGCTTTGAAAAGGGTTGAAACATCTGAATTAGTGTTGATCCGTGAGGTGCTGATGATGCAGATCATCCTCTTTTTAAAGCTCTCTTCCTCCTCTTCTTCAAGGCTCTCTTCAATCGTTTGGTACCATCGGTAAACGGAGTAAGAAAGTTCTCTGATATCCAAATCCGAAGGCTACGGGTAAACTTTTTCTTCTTTAATTTTGATATTATATAACTTTGATAATTGGCTAATGGGATAAAATCCTCATATGTGAACCCATTTTGCATCAAGTTATATCAGTAACCAGAGTCTTATGATCATAATATATAGCAAAGATTGGTGATTGAGGTTTTTTTCTCATTTGCCTCTAAATTATATGTGGCTAGCCCTGGAAGGAATAAATAAATGCCTCACTTCAAAACATGGTTAGATTTCAAAGACCGAGTCATTATGTGACAGAAATATGAGAAGATCAAGGATGAACTACTCGGATCACAAAATGGAAGATGCCTGCATGATTTATGTAATTGTCAATTAACTGAGAGTCATGACATGACCTGGCCGTGTTGGCAGAATTGAACTGTTACAGTCAGTGTTACTTTCATCTCACATCACAGCATTTGTAACATTGTTGATGTGCAGAGAAGTCAGGTAGTAGGTTTTGTGCTGTTATCATATATACAAAATATGGTATAACAAGATAGTAAATGAAGAGTAGGTATAAAGTACTAATAGCCTGCCATGTGCCAAGGAGAAAACTGACCCTATAGCACTTTACAGAGCAAGATGGCATCATGCTTCTTTTAGAACCTTTAAATTGGCTGTATAACTAGTTTCTCAGCTTACTCATATTTAAAATTGGGGTAACAATACTTGCTTTACATAGATTAAATCCCAAAAGGTATCAGATATCAAAAAATGGTTGCTTTTGAAGCTTCCTCTGACATACTTGGAACACGTGGCCAGGAGGGACCAGTCCTTGGAGAAGGACATCATGCTTGGAAGGGTGGTGGGACAGTGTAGGAGAGGAAGACCCTGGATGAGATGGATTGACAAAAGTTGGTGTGATACTGGCTCCGTACAGGGCAGGATTCAAAGCTGTTGTACATAGGGATGCTATGAGTCACAGGTGACTCGACGGCACATAACAGCAACAAACAACATGTTTTATTTGAATTTTTTTAAGAAATAGTCATTAAGCTGGCACTATATATCTGAAGAGGAGAAGGATGAATAGTCTCCTCTTGTTCGATTAACTTCCTCTGACCCACTGGAGGGTCAGCTATGAGTCCACTCTGACTGGATAGTAATCAACCACAACATGTGTGTATGTGGCTCAGAAATCCCACTCTTAAGTATTTTATCCAAGAGAAACCAAAGCTTAGTATTTACACAAAAGCTTGTATATGAATTTTATTGTGAACGCTATTCATATCATCTCCAAAATCTGGAAATAATAATGCATGTGTCCCTCGCATGACTGTAAATAAAGATTGCTTCCTGCATGAATGAAATACAATTTAGCAGTAAAAACTGAATTATTGCGATTCAAATCCACCAGACGCTTTGCTAGAGAAGGAGGAGCAATCTCCTCTTGTGTCAGTCAGATCTGATTTGACGGTACATACACAAAATATAATAAAATAAAATTTTAAAAAACAGACAAAAACTAAATTATTTATACATGCAACTGCTTGTTGTTTCAGAGGCATTGTGTTGAGTAAAGAAGCCATTCTTTCCAAATTCTGTGAGGAGGAAAAGAGAAAAATTTTTCTACCTTACTATTGTTAGGTGCTTACAAGTGAACTATAGCTCATAACTATCCTATGAACATCTCTCATAGGCTTGAGACTACTGTTAGAGTCTTGTGTCAGTCGCTCTTACAGAGAGTTGTCTCCTTTCTCTGACTTTTCCCTTAGGAAAGGGTAAAAGGGCAGTGAAAACAATCTTAAATGATACTCTTCTAAAAGTGATTTACATTGATTTTTTTTTTGTTTGGTGTCAGAAGTGGGATTCAAGCTCCCGCCTCCATGAGAGATGACATTGATTATTTTTAATATATTTTGGCAATTTCTAAAATTTCATTTAAAGATCCACAGTAGCGTAGTTGTTAACACACTCTTCTGCTAACTGAGAGTTTGGCAGTTCGGTCCCATGAAACTGATCCACAAAAAGATGGGGCAGTCTGATTACAGCTTTGAAAATCTTAGGCAATTCTGTCCTCTAGTGTCACTGTGAATTGGAATCAACTCAGTGATACTTAAGAAAAGGTGTCATTTTTATTGGACTTCTTTACTCTCTGATGGAAAAATAAAGATTTGTGCATCGCAGTGGGTTTCATGAAGTAGAGAGTATGGATGTGTCTTACAAGGAAGGCTTTTTGGTCACCACACTTTGAAGCTGAGTGTAGGGAAATGCCCCTTGTGCTCATTGATAGAGATGAGCATGCTAATAATACCTTTGTATGTGTGTGAGTAGGAAATTGCCGCTATGTTTATCCAACGGTATCACAGTTTTCCCTTTGAAATGGAAAATGATTTGTATTTTCCAGGGAGCCAAACCCAAACATATTGAAAGGAAATGCAAGTGCAAAACTTTATTTTTTTTTATCCAGACAGTTGAAAAACCCAATTAAAATGAAGTTTTGTTGTTGAGCTCTGGTGGTATAATGTTATGTGTTGTACTGCTAACTGGAAGGTCAATAGTTTGAATTCAACAGCTGCTCCTCAGGAGAAACATGCATAGTTTCCTCCTATAAAGATTCACAGCCTCCGAAACCCGTCGGAATATCACTATGAGTCAGAATCAACAGCAGTGGATTTGGATTGGTTTTAGTTTGGGGGTTTTTGTTGTGTGTTTGGTTTTTTGTTTTTGGTTGTTTTTTTTTTCTCAGAGGGATTCTATTTTGAGATACTATTTAAGTTTTTTTAAAAGCCATATTTTTGCATATTTTACCTTAATTTTTCTACTTCCACAGCGCCTTGGCATTGAAAAGAACGACCCTGCCACACTGACAGAAGAAGAGATAAACAGATTTGCACGATTAGATATTGATCCAGAAACTATAACTTGGCAAAGAGGTACTAGAGCACCCGCTTTGATGTTTTTCATGTTCTCACATCCTACACCTTTTCAGAGTTGGTTGGGTTTTCGTGGTGAATGCATGGTCAAGATAGTGACTTACTCTTTTTTTTTTTTTTTTTTGCCACCTACATCAGTAACTCTCCTTGTTAGCCATAATCAAGTCTCCCTTTGTTTAAATGGTTGAACAAATTGCTGGCTATTCAGTATTGAAATGAAACATTGGTTTCAAGGAAGCTCATGCTAAATAAAAGATATAATTTTGCAAGTTTCATCTTACACAAAAAAGTTTTGGTGTCATAAAGTAGGGAAATATGGTTAATCACTTCTTGAATCATGTATTCTCTTTATTCTCAGAACTGAGAATTCTCTGACATAAGTGATTTGATTGTTTTTGTAACTCCATCGTGCCTTGTTATTTTTATCTCATTTTATTAAACCTTTTTACAAGTTAGATAACATTGAAGGTTTAAGTTCTTAGCAGCATGGTGAGTGCGTTGCCTGACTTCACTACCATATGCCACCAACATATGTATGTCCAACTAAGCATGACTTGAAATTTTATTTTTAACCAGCACTGTATCACTGCTGAAAAGAAATTTTCACCTAGTTATGCAGAACTCAGCTAGCGGCTAATTTATTGGCAGCTTTTGTCATTTTCATTGGCTCAGTAACTGCTGGTAGCTAATGACATTTTAAAGTGATACTCTTAGTATCTAAAATCATATTGATGTTTCTCTTCACTTTGCTTCAGAAGTCTTCAACAGTTGATAAAAATGTAAAGACTAAACTAAAGATCCATTCTGAGACTTTAGCATCTCACTTTTTCTTTGCTTTATGTCTAACTTACACTCTCCTAGACAATAGGAATGACAAAGGAGAAAATAAGACTGGCTATTTTCTACAAGGAGCTCTGGTCAAGTAGTCACCATAACATATTCTGCTGTCAGCTGAAAGGTCAGCCGTTTGAATCCACCAGCTGCTCTGCAAGTGCAAGATGAGCATTTCCTTACATACAGACTTGGAACCTTGAAACCTGATAGACAGTCACTGTGTGTCAGAATTGACTCGCTCACAGTGGGGTTTTTTTAATGTGTACAGAGAAATTACTGTGAAACAAATGAGTATTTTTTTTCTTTCCAAAATTTAATTCACATGAATTTAATCACTCAAATTAATGAAAATATCAGAACTTCTGAGATAATGTATGGCAGCAAAAGTTTCATTTTCATTGCAAATAATAGACTATTTAATGTTTCCATTATTAACACTATGCTGCAGAAAGAACAGTTGCATTAAATCTTAATTTACCAGGAACACGTTCCATTAAACTCTTGCAAACTTCTATGGTATTAATTAATCACATTGAATGACTAGTTTTTCCATGGTTAATTGGAAGCAGTTTCTATCCATCTAGGTCATAGTCATCCTCTACAAAAACATAAATGTTGACCTTTTTGAAAAAAAGTAGCCTGCTCTGTTTCTTCTAATATGAAATTTATCTTGAAAGCTTCCAGATTTCTAGCTGTTTGAGTTCTCTAAACAATTAAATTCCTTTGCTTTGAAAAGAATTTCTTAACTTTACCCCATATTCTGGGTTTGCATCAATTTTTAAATCAAATACACCCACTCTTCTCTTAGCAACATAGTTGGGTTCCAAAGAATATATCATTTTGTGGAAATCTACTGGTGGTATTAAACAAAATGGAAGATACCTACATCAAATCACAGAATGATTACCTAATTACATAAGTGCCAAATTATATCATTATGTAACTGCCAAACCGTTCAGAAGAGTGGCCCAGCCAAGTTGACCCATAACCTTAACCATCACAGCTGAGGTGACTCTCACCTTGCACCTTTGTGTTCATTACTGATAGACATAAACCATTTATGTGCAAAATAGTCTGGATAGTAGACTTTTTGTTATTATGAATGCAAAATGTTGGCTAGTGAGATAGCAGATAAATGAGGAGTAGAAGTATGAGGACAGTTATTAAATGAGACTTCGTTTTTAAACCCTGGCTGGTCCTTTTGACTTCACAGTCTCCTTATTAAATTGTTCTGTTTCTTTCTTCTTTAGTGTTGGATACCAACGATAGATTTCTGAGGAAGATCACAATTGGACAAGCTCCAACAGAGAAGGGGCATACACGGATGGTAATTGTTTCTTTCAAGTAGATGAATTTATGTGAACCGCAGATCCTTGCTGCGTATCTCCTCCTCCATCCTCTTCCTGCCAGGTGTCGTTCTGCCTTCTCCCTTTTAAAATGGAAGTGAGTAGGTGTGCAGTATCGAGCGCTCCTGACAACTTTTGCAGCACATCGCATGTGTCACCTGTTTTCCCCCTAGCATTTTTTTTCCTGGAGGTGTAGAGCCCCAAGTGAATATCCTTGCATATAAATGGATTAAAATGGCTTCGTTTTTTAATGGCCATTTTGTAGTAGATCTCTGTGTCAGTCATCTCATAAATTAAGACAAGCATACTCTTGTGATAACATGCAACTTTCATAGGGATAAATAGTAACTTGTTGATCGTGGTACATTTTTTTTAAAAAAAAAATTGACTGCAGAAGATCTTAAGATAATTTTATATTTTTTGCTGTTAGTTACTGTCAGATTGATTCTGACTCATAATGACTCCATTTGTATTCGAGTAGAGCTGTGTTCCACAGGGTTTTCAGCAACTGCTTTCAAAAGTAGATCGCCAGGCCTTTCTTCCGAGGCACATCTAGGTAGACTTGAACCTCCAACTTTTCACTCAGGAGCTAAGCATGTTAATCTTTTGCACAACCTGTGGATTCCAAAATTTCTGCTACTGGAAATTATTTCCATTAAGCTCTTTTTCTGTTTAGTATTCTATCTTTCAGGCTCTCGGTTTAAACCTAGGATGCCTTAATGCATTGCCGCACACTTTTTAAATTAACGACCGTGCTTAGAAACACATTTGCCGTCATTTGTGGCAACATGTTAAAGGGCTACTTGTGTGATTCATGATTCTGTTTTACCATCATGTTCTCTACACCTGCTCGTTGTTTTTCCACTCTCATATTCCTCCTGTTTGCATTTATAACAATAGTGAAAATCTGTTGACTATTTTACACAGTAATGGTGCAGCAAGGGTGCTGAGGGGCTATGTGAGGGTCATCATTGCTGTGATGGTTACACTTCTGTGTCTTTGCCAGGCCAACATTTGCAATGGTTTGGTAATTTTGTAGTCACCCTCCATTTTTTCCTTTGGACCCTAACTATGTTGATAAGTAAAGAGTGGGTGTATTGCCTCTTTTCTTTGTCCTTTCCAGACCCAGTTTGATATCTCTGTGGCCAGTGAAATCATGGCTGTCTTGGCTCTCACCAGTTCTCTAGAAGACATGAGAGAGAGACTGGGTAAAATGGTGGTAGCTTCCAGCAAGAAAGGGGAACCCATCAGTGCTGAAGATCTGGTGAGTGTTGGCACTCGGGACTTGTTATAACATCTGTGTTCATTGTCCTGGGGTCTCTCATAGGCACTGGTTACAAAAATTAACCTTTATTCAAGATGTTACCGTTAACCAACATCACTTCCATTTTCAGAGAGTATCAAGAGTCCAAGTTCGGCCCTTGGTAACTGAACTTGGAGTTACAGCTTTCCTAGACATGTGACTGCACAGTAACCTCTTGTTGTGAGACCCATTGATAACAGCCTTTTGGAACATTTGAACCAGCTCCTTACTGTTTCACTGCTAGTCTGATTCTCCACTTGGGGATTACATCCTACCTGTCTGACCGCATGGTAACAGGTTTGAAACGAGAGTTCCTGTAGATTAAATTTTAAAGCCGTGTTTCTGCTGGCACAAGTGAAAACTGTTAGCGTCTGCTTAGTTGTTGTTGTTAAATACCATCAAGTCATAACTGCCTTATAGCTGACACTCTAGCGAATTTCCAGAGGCAGTAAATCACATGGGAGATTTCCCATCTTCCTCCTATGGAGCAGCTGGTGGGTTCGAACTTCTTGCCTTTGTGTTGCCAGGGAAGCAATGTTGAATAAATTGAAAAGGAAGAAAAACTAGTTTCTTGCTTTTACATTTATTAAGAGAAGAAATGGCTTTAAATGTTGACAGCCAAACCAGAAATTCAGGGAGTCACTGGAGTTGAGAATAACAGAACCTTTGCTTTCTCTTGCTGTGCCGCCTGCTTGTTCACTTGTGGAAGTGCTTAAAGGGGATCTGATAGTCAAGACCTAGTCTTAAGGTTCAGCTTTGACGGTTTATAGCCATGACACCAAAGGTACAGATAACTCAGTACTCGAGGAATAAGTATTTCCCTGCTCTAACCTTCTGAAATGGATTCCCCAAACAACAAAGCTTTATTGCGATGCTTGTTTCCAGGGTTACATGTTTTTCTAAAAATTGCATATGAATGTCATTTTCATTCTATCTGTTCTCCCTACTTAAAATAACCAGTAACTTCATAGCAGACCCAGGAAAAAAGCAAATGGATGTTCTAGTCCAAGTGTAAGTCCTGGTTGTTTTAAGATGGCTAAAAATGGAAGGTGGCTACAGGCTGACAGTTGATATCAGAGGTTTTTTGCTGCTAGGAGTTGACACGTGTTGGGTCTGTTTCGTAGGGGGTGAGTGGTGCATTGACGGTGCTTATGAAGGATGCCATCAAACCCAACCTAATGCAGACACTGGAGGTGAGCAGAGAGATCCTGATGAAGCACACTTTGCTTGGGGAGCCACAGCCCTTCTCTACCCTCTTGCAGTTCTTACAGTCCTAAATGTATCATTGACATAAAAAGAAGCAGCTCCTTTATTTCCTTCCAGGAAATCTTTTTCGTTTGGATTCCAACTAAATCCCTTAGTCCCTTGGCTGTGGGATTCTTTTTTAAAAAATTATGGCAAATATATCAGAACATCCCTTTAGTCTTCATGTTACTGATGGTCTGTTGAGTTCACCCTGAGTGATCCTGTTTTGAAGCCGACTTGGGAACTTCCTTTATGGCTTCTGATTTCCACAGGGCACACCAGTGTTTGTTCACGCTGGACCGTTTGCCAACATTGCCCATGGGAATTCCTCTATCATAGCAGACCGAATTGCACTCAAACTTGTTGGCCCTGAAGGCTTCGTAGGTAAGTAGTTTTGCAAAATCAGTGAATAGACACACTCTCGTTCTCTGTCTATATCTCTCTCTTTTAAATCTGTTAACATGGGGGGTATTGGAATGACATTTTCATACTGTGTTTCTCTTTCCTTACAGTGACTGAAGCAGGATTTGGAGCTGACATTGGAATGGAAAAGTTCTTCAACATCAAATGTCGCTATTCTGGCCTCCGTCCTCATGTGGTGGTGCTTGTTGCCACCATCAGGGCTCTTAAAATGCACGGAGGTGGCCCCACGGTGAGAAGCAAGGGCTAGAAGGGTCTACTGGTCAGGATGTTTCTGAAGGGGAAGCTGAATGGCTTGTGTGCCTGTGTCTTCAAGCCGCTATATATCATCATGATATACAGGCTGCCAAGAGCATATGCAGGTCAGGGGCTCACAGCTCTGTACTAAGGGCTGCCTTATCACTCCATGCACTGTCAGCTCTCAGCATTTTGAGTGGGCCAGCATTGCTTAGTGACCTACCTTTCTGAGGAAAACATCTAATAATATCTCAACCACTCCAAGGACAGGCACTTGGCCATCCCACAAGACACTTTCATATTCCGACTGTTCTTTTTAAGTCTGAATCCCATTTTCTCTCAAAGTAGTGACATTGGCAGCCACCCAGCTGAGCCATTTAGCCAAGGCAGAGGTCAGCCCCGTCTTGAGTCATGCATAATCTAGACAAAGACCACTAACAGCCCAGAGTGGGAGGGACAAGGCCAGGAGGGCTGGAGAGGCATGGTGAGATGCTCTGGGCAGCCTCTGGTAATAGGGTTAGAAGGACTCCAACCTGAACTTTTGTTTTCCTTAATTCCTACTGATGAGAAATTACGCCTTTTCTCTAAGTATTTAACCACCTCTTTCCCAGCACTGACAGGTGAAAACACAGTGCGAGTTTTCAGAAATCCTTTGAAGATGTGTGAAATGCCTCTCCTCAGGCGCTTGTGTAGTAACTGAAAAAAAGACCTTCCTTAATCTACAAGAGGCAGTTCTGGTGGCATTGTTCATAGTGAGTTGTGCTGTTAACCCCTAGTACATGAATTTCTGGTGGTTCAAATCCACCAGCAGTTTCTTGGGAGAAAGATGAGCATTTTGCAGCCTCTGAAAGTTTGATGGAGGGTCACAGAGAGTCAGAATTGACTCCATGGCAGTGAGTTTGCACTTTCATCCTGCAGAATAAAATCAGTGCTTGTTATGGCAATACAGGGTTTTTTCCTAATTATATAACAGTTCTCGAACTTTGGTCTCAGAGCCCCTTTCTACTTTTAAAAATGAGGATCAAAAAGAGCTCTTTTACTACATTAGAAATTTAAATGACTTCGTCACATAAATAACTTTTTTTCCTGGAGAACCGTCGAGTTTTCTAATAGACAATTTAGACGTTTTATCTGTGTTCTTCTGCATTTAGTTTGTAATATCGCATGCCATGTTTTTTTCAAAAGTCCATCGTACCCTCATGAGCGAATCAAAAAGGTCAATCCTATCTGAGTGTTCTTGTGGAAGTATTTTTACCTTATAGACATCCCTGAATGTTGAGGTTCCTTGCCCATACTTTGAAAACTATGACTTTGATATGCTCAGCACACCTCTCTGGCCTTAGCTGTTTCTAAGGTCATAGGCACTCATGGCCAGGGACTCTCCGTTATGGTGACCAATAGCTGAACCTCTAGTGGGTTTTTGAGAGAAAATCACACGGGAGGTGCTTGCCCATATTTCTCCTGCGGAGCAGCTGGTGGACTCAAACCTCATAGCTTTGTGTTGGCACTGCAACTCTCTTCTCTGTTGCATATAGCATTTCTTACTCTCATCCTTCACATCCCTTCACTCAGCCTCACACAATGTACCTCTTTTCTTGAGGTCTCATAGTGTAAGAATAATAATGAAGAATGGAAGGGACCAGTCTGAAGGCCCCTTAATCACTTTTGTCCATAGCAACCTCTGAGGTTCGTGGAGTCCCTCTCTTCACACCCCTACTCTTATCCCTCTCCTGTGGCTGAGGCAAGGCTGAGTCACCATACAGATCAAGACTTGGGGCAGACAGACCTGTCACCTCCATAACAGTGAACTCACTGGTTCAGTGTCTTAACACCTTCAAAATACTCTAGTAGAAGAAAATTTGTTTTCCCCTTCTTACCTGTCTTGTTCCTGGTGCACAGTTCTGTGCACTAAGATGTGGGCTGGCTTTGTGTACAGTGTGGTGAGCCTGTGGTGGGCTGATAGCTGCCTTTTTCCCTCCAACTAACCTTTAGCTCCACCCTCTGCAACCTTTCCTCTCAGCGATCATTGTCCCAGAGCACATCCTTTCCCTCTGTCTTCGCTGGTCCTTCTCTCCTCTAAGACACCTGCACAACCCCAGGCCATGTAGGTTTCTCCTCTGCTCAAAGCAGTCATTGTGTACTATGCTGCATATACTTGAAAACTTTTGAGGCAAGAACCAGTCCTACCTAGCTTGCGGTGTACTTGCCACACCATTTTAAGGTGAACTCTTAATTGTGAGTAGATAATGTCTCTGACTTGGTTTCCTTTCCCTCTAGGTCACTGCTGGACTGCCTCTACCCAAGGAATACATAGAGGAGGTAACTTTGGTCATTTCTGATTCGTTGTCTCAGAAAGAATCACACCCTAACAGCATCTCCCTATTTGACCTGTTCTGGAATGAGTGGGGCCTCATGACCCAGCTTTGTTCTTGGGAGCCAAAGATGCTAAAAGGCTCTCATGGGCTGAAGTGGTATATTAAATGTATAAAACAAAGAACTGTTTCAGAAAACAGAAATACCCCATAGATGATGTCGAGGGGGGGGAAACCACTACCAGTGATTGTTGGCTAGGGGTGATTTTGCCCGTAGCAACTTTTAACAGTGACATACCATGTCCTGGAGAAAGTGAAACAAGGTCGCTCCTTGGAAGCAAGGATTTTGAAACTCCACCTCACTTAGTTTGGACATGTTGTCAGGAAGGGTCAGTCCTTTGAGAAGGATACCATGTTTGGAAGGATTGAGGCTCAGCACAAGAGAGGAAGACCCTTCATGAGATGGATTGACTCATTGGAGTCAGGTGTGTTGGAGACAGTGAGGTTGACTTAGGATAGTAGAAGGTTCAGAGCCATTGTTCATAGGTTCGCTATGAATTGTAGTTGACTATGAAACATATCAGTAAAAGGTAAATTTCGTTGTTAGAACTGGGGGTAATGGTACCACTGGGATCAAGTGGGTAGACACCCTATAAGGCACATAACAGTCCCCTAAACAAGGATTACCCAGCTCTGAATGCCAGTAATGCTGAGGTTGAGAAGGCTCTTCCCAATTTACATTCAGTCAGAAGTAAATAGGAGCCTGTTTTGAAATACTCTGCAGGTTTATATCCAAATTAAAAGGCTGAAATGTAGCCCACATGTTGTTTATTTTTGTAGGCAAAAATTTCATAAACTGATTTTAGTTCATAGCTTCAAGTAGGAGTCCAGTGAATAATTGTGAACTCCCACCTTTTCATGTTTATCATCAAAGAGCCATTGCTAGTCCATTTGGGTGGGTTGCATGAGAGGACAGTCCCCAGGACGAGAAGGTAAGGTCAGCCGCTGTTGCTGTTAATTCCATTTTTTCTGCCGCTCCCTCCCCAAGGCTTCTAAATTATCACTGTTGAGACCCCGAGTGAAGCATTTCAAAATGGAATAGAAAAGCCTTGTCAGGGCCTCGAGTCTGCCTGTCTTCTGAGTTATGATTTGCCTTTTATGGCCATTTGTGTGATTCACGCGTAGGAGGGGATTTCACAGTTCTGGCCCTCCTGCACCCCACAGCCTTTCCTGTGTCTAATTAGAGTGACCGCCCCTCACTGGCCCAGCTGGTGTCTTCATTTAAGAAATTCTATTTACTTTCAAACTGTTCTTCACCAGCCTCACATACTAATTGGCTTTCTTGAGACTGGAGGTTGAGAATATCAAACAAGTCCTAGTCTCAGTTTTCAGTTATTAAAGGGGGGACCCCACAAATTGTCTTGGCAGTGATCTCCATTTTTCTACCTTTGACAAACCTGTTTTCCCCTGCTACTTTGTGGTTATTGTGGATCATCAAACTAAACATTGATTTTTACTGAGTTTTGCTTATTACTCAGTGTTATTTGTATATGGCTGCTATAATTTTATTTTTAAAATATTGAACATATTTTAAAGCTTTTAGGAGTAACTTGCTTTTGGGGGGGAATTAAACATTAGAATAGTCTTTTTTTTAATTTTTTTTTTTATATGTGTACCGTCAAATTGGATCTGACTAGTACAGGAGGAGATTGTCCCTCCTTCTTCAGCAGAGCATCTGGTGGATTTGAACCCAGTACCTCTGGGATTACAGTGCACCTTCTTGCCACTAGGCCACTAGAGCTCACCTAGAATAGTCTTTGAATCTCTTTACTAGTTTGGTAGCATAAAAGAGGAGACCCTCGATGAGATGGATTCAGTGACTGGAGTAATGGGGGTAGGTGTGTCAGAGACAGTAATTCTGGCGTGGGATAGGGCAGGGTTCAGTACGTAGGGTCTCTGTGAGTCATAAGTGACTCAGTGGCACCTAACATACCTGTTTTTTTGTTGGTACAGTTTTGTTTTGCAACTTTTAATACGCGGGTTTTTTATTGTTCCATGTTATAGACTCACCTGTCTTTTCATAATATTGGTATATTCCTTGAGTGTGCATGTATCACCGTAATTCACGGTATTGATAGGGGTAGGTTGTGGTTGCAGTTTCCCAATGCTAGAAACAATACTCATATTTAAAGATAAATTTTCTTAAATTCTTCCCTTCATATTTTCTTATTTGGTTCTTACCGATAGCATTTATCTTAATAAATGTGGTTGTCCTCCATGAAAGTTCACTGTTAAGTAAATGTTTTTCAGTACTTCATATTTTCTGTCAGTTTTCATGGCAGCTGTATAATGAATGCCTGCTTTGTGCCCGGTCATATGCTAGGCTGTCTTCTGATGGGTCTGTGCTCTACCATGTAGAATCAGTTTGCACCATTGTATCATATTAGCACATAAAACCTATAAACAGAGGAACTATAAATATACTTTATGAAGAGGTAGCTCGCTTCCTTCATATCTCAGATAAGCTGCCTGTCTGGTATGACCTGATGGCAGCAACGATACCAGCTGCCATGTTTTCAAGCTGGGCGGCCTGGGTCGAAGCTGCCCTCCTCCAGTGCTCATTCACCAGAGGGAATCAACTCCCTTACTTGACTCCTTGTCCCGATGATGAGTAGCCACTGACTTTAAGGAGGCTGCTTGCTTTCTTAAGAAGAGTCTGCAGCTGCTTCACCTCTGCTCCTCTGACCTCACAGACCTTTCACCATTGTCTTTACAGAACCTGGAGCTGGTTGAAAAAGGCTTCAGCAACTTGAAAAAACAAATTGAAAATGCCAGCTTCTTTGGCGTTCCAGTGGTAGTGGCTGTGAATGCATTCAAGTAAGTGCAGAGAAGAAATAAAGGGGGAATGTGGGAAATGGTCAGAAGATGACTCCTCTTGGCTGGGCAGCAGTTCCTCTCAGTTTTACTGTTGGCACTTTGAACAAGACCAGTTTGAAGTGCACAAAATAGTGCTATTATTGCAATTTGTGAACTCAAGTGCTGCTAAACATCTCTGAAGGAGCAGTTCACCTCTCTCTGAGATGTTAGCATTAGAAAAAATTTTTTTTAGAAAATTTTTTAACTAGCAACATTTGACCTTACCAAAAAAAAAAAAGGTATTTGAGGTTTTCTTAATATTTAATTATTATTTGAGTGAAAGTTTATAGAGCAGATTGGTATCCCATTCAGATTTTGGGTTTTTTTTGTTTTGTTTTGTTTGTTTGTTTTTTAATTATTATTTTTGTGTGAGTGTACCGTCAAATCAGATCTGACTGGTACAGGAGGAGATTGTCCCTCCTTCCCTGGCAGAGCATCTGGTGGATTCGAACCATGTGCCCCCATTCAGATTTTGGATTATGCCATTGAATACAGTCCCAGCATTGTATCATCACCCTTCTTGTATTAATAAACCCACACAGTTCAAACTCTTCTTATTCAAGAGTAAACTCTTAAGTTCTGCATGGATTTTGGACTGAGAGCAAGGTCAGCAGACTTAACACTCTTTGTTAAAGGGTCGCCTGTATTTTGTTCTTCATTTAATGGCCATTAATTTTCTTTCTTTTTTTTTTTTGGTAATTAATTTCAATGAACAATTACAGAGATTTTGGATTTCCATTCATTCATTATTGTACTTTTCTCACCGACCGCACCCCCTGCGGCCATTATTAAGCCTTATCTTTATCATCCATTAGAGGTGGCCTAGTTGGTAAGGATTTGCACTGCCAACCCAAAGACAGGTGGTTCAAATCTGTCAACTGACCCAGGGGAGAAAGATGGGCAGTTTCCTCTCATGCAGTATAGAGCCTCTGAAAACCCGCTGGAGTCAGATGTCAATTGGTTCTAACTCGGCGGCAATGAGTTTATAAGTCTGATCTTTCATTTATGAGAGCCTGCAGTATGACAGGCACCAACACTCCAAAAGTTACAGCAACTTTACCCCATTGATGGTCCCCTTCTCTGGCAGGGGAAGTGGATTTACACCCAGGCCCTGAAGTTAAATGCCTTTTTGGTCTTTGGAGATCTTTTGTGCTAACAGAAAGGCATAGCCCTAAAGTTAACATTATGATTTGGTCTACATCTCCTAACATCCCTGTGAAGCAAGTGTGTGTTTATTTTATACATTGAGGCACATAGAGATATGTAACTAGTCACTCAGTTAACTAATTTGTGGAGCTGAGGTCCAAACCCAGGCAGTACTAAATTAGTGTAACTGTTGTTACTGTACTCATTTATCTGTGAGTCTTTAACATGAAGCACTGTCTTTACAGGACGGATACTGAGGCCGAGCTGGATCTCGTCAGCCGCCTTGCCAAAGAACACGGGGCTTTTGATGCCGTGAAGTGTACTCACTGGGCAGAAGGAGGCAAGGGAGCCGTCGTGCTGGCTCAGGCTGTCCAGAGAGCTGCTCAGGCCCCCAGCAAGTTCCAGCTCCTCTATGAACTCCAGGTGGGCTGCTTACTGTATGAGGGGGAGGGGGGAAGCCATACATGACAAGGTGCCTGTTTGGTTATTTCTATTTAGAACCTTTTGCTTCAGAGCTTCAACCGAATAAGTTTTGTTCTCATGTGGGTGAGTTATATGAACATGGTCTAGACTCCCTGCTGTAGACAGCTTTCTTGTAAATGCATGTTGCTGCTTGCTTAAAGGGTAGCGAGTCCAGACCAGAATGCCTTGGGAGGCTGACCCACATCTTAATTTTTGCAATCAGTGACCATAGAGGTGTTACCTGTACAGATCTGGTAAAGCTGTGGATCCTGTGGAGCAGAAATGGTTTGTTAGGTTGTTTACAGAACTGAACGTGGAATTCACTCCTTTAACACAAGGCAGCAGCCATGCAGCTCATTGACAGGGGCCCCAAACGAGCTGAGGAAGGTTTTCTGACCACTTCCCAGTAACAGAAAAGTGGTCAGAGCCTAACCTTGCTGCTTGACTTGGTGCTGCCTGGAGTTCAGAGACACCCTCAGGTGCTAAAACCAGAGCGCCTGAAGAGGTTTAAACACTTTTCCCATCACAGAGTAATTGGCATTACCTGTGGTCTAAGCAGAATTGCTTTGTCTGATACACCAGTCATTCAAAGAAAGGTACTTCTTGGTATAGGTTTGTATCTTCTTGTCAGTTATCTCTCCTCTGCATTTCAGGATGTGACTGGACATAAAGTAGCATGTCCACAGAACTATCAACTTTGTTAGGTCTATGGGATGAATACTGTATATATCTTTGATACTGGGTTATTTTCATTTTTAAAGATGACCAGAGATTTTAAAAAATCATCATAAAAAGGGAACAAGAGGAAACTGTATCATTCTTGAATTCTGGTGGTCTTGTTTTCGTGTTCTTTGCAGATCTAATACACTAGCAGTTTCTGTTGACAGCTCAGAGAGCTCTGATGGTCCAGTTCATAAGGACTTCCACTGCCAACCCAAAGGCCGAGTTTCTGGAGCTTCGAATCCATCAGCAGCTCTGCAGGAAGTTTGGCATTCTCCTGCTGTGTTACTCACAGCCTCGAAGCACAGTGTAGGGTTAGCTGTGAGCTGGTTCCAGCCCCACCACAGTGAGGTTTTTTTTTTCACTGACAGCTTTGGTTTCATAAGACTTATTAGAAAATGTGCTCAATCAGCCATCTTTTTTTAAAGCCATAAATGCAAATTTGCACACAAATGTAAAGCATTTATACCTGCTCTCTCTCAGTCTCCTTCCACAGTGTGCAGGTCAGGAACCCCCATCCTTATGGGCCATCGGTTGACCTAGAAGTGGGTAACAAGGACTTGATAACCCATTTCTACCAGAAATTTTATTCCAAAAAAGGCTGCTGCTTTTTGTTTTGTGCAGCAGCTGCTAGTTTCATTTCATCCCTCAGCAAAAGTGCTTCTGCTTCAAAAGTTTTGAATGTGCTTTGGCATTTATAGAGCTCCAATTAGAAGATGCATACAGAAGTAATTTATGTATAAGACCATAATTGAATATTCACTTTATTCATGTCCATTATACAGAGCCATTTCATAAATGATCACTGTTTAATTCAAAAGAGAATCTTCTTTCATTTTTAAATAGACATATTATTGCCTCTTTCAAAACACAGAACTCCCTCAACATGTTCTTTTTGCCTCGGTTGCTAGGGAATGTAGAGGCAGAGATAATGCTTAATTTTAGAATTTGCACATCCAGATTACCTGTTTGTAGCTTTCCTTCCCATTTCCATTAGGTTTCTCTCTCTGTGCCGTTCTCTCTGACTCTTGGTGGCCGAGCTCAGCTGTGGTGGAGTTTAAGAAGTGAGGCTCCATGCCTGTGAAAGCTTTGTCCTGGAAAAGGTGGCCCTGTGGCACCATGACCCCCACTACGTGCTAGACTTTTGGCCTCTCTCATGCCATTGGTGGAGAGGTTGTGTTTGCTTCTGGTCCTTTGTTGCCACTCCCAGCATGCATTGACCATATAAGCCCCTGGATTTTGAAATTTTTTAAAATCTATTTTCTTCTTAAGATTATGCAGAGCAAAACATACTAATTTCTTGCATGTACCATGCAGTGGTGCTGATTATATTCGTCAAGTTGTGCAACTGTTCTCTTCCTTCTTTTCTGCATGGTTCCTCCTCCGTTACCATAAGCTCACGGTCTCTTAAGGGACCTGTCTAATCCTTCGAGTGACTGTTGCTGATTAGATTCCATATGGACAGTCCTTAAAAGAGCCCAGTGCTCAAGGCAGCCTTTTTTAACTAGTTAATCAAGGCTGTTCGGTTTGAGAAGACTTCAGGAGGTTTGTTTTGTTTTTTTCTTTTTCTTTTTTTATTTATTGTTGCACATTTTCTCCCTCCTCTGCCCCTTGTTTTGGTTTTTGTTTAAGGTTTAAAATTATGTCAGTGCAAGGTGATTTTGTTTTTATGATTATTTCTAGATGTCAACAGTTAACCCTCAATATATTGTGTTAAGGATAGTATCTGTGTCTTCTGAACAAACCAGAAGTTATAGAGATAGAGGTTGATTATCTTGTTTCATAAGCAGCATCCAGACACAAGTTCACATGTGAATGGTTTTTCATATTAGGACACTTACGTTTACTTCTGCAAAAAAGAATTATTCCTGAGTACTCAGAACATTGTTTAAGATGTATCTATCAAGGCTATATATGGATGTGTAGATTGTAACTTTACTTCTGGGACTTTAGCACTTGTGTAATTTGGGGCTTGATAATGATTAAAGTCTCTAAAAGCAAATGTTTCTAACCTAATGAACCTAAAACTATTTAGGTCTCTGGATATAAAAAGTCTTTCCTGGCCCTGGTGTTGTAGGGTTCCTAACTAAAGAGTTGGTGGTTAAATTTACCAGGCACTCTGGGAGAAGGATGGACAGTCTTCCAGAAAGATTTATAGCCTCGGAAACCCAACAGAGGGTCTCTCTTACAGACTCTGACCCAGAATGTATCCTGGTTATGTGTGTCCATTCAGTATCCTCCTCTCTTTCTTATGCTTTAGCTCCCAATCGAGGATAAGATCAGGATCATTGCACAGAAAATCTATGGAGCGGATAACATTGAGTTGCTACCTGAAGCCCAGCAGAAAGCTGAAGTCTACACAAAGCAGGTAAATGTTTGACTTGTTTGTACTTTGACTTCTTTTACAAAGCAAGCTGTGGAGTAAGAATCCTCCAGTTCTCCAGTCCTGCCATGTCCTCACCGCTTTACTTCTCTGGGCAGCAGCCTGTCACAGAAGCAAGATATTTGAATTAGGTGGTCAGGTTCCAAGTTCTACTTTAAAATTGCTTCTTGAGAAATCATCTAGGCTCTGCGTTTCTCACAGAATACAGCAGTGGTTTGCTGGTAGACTTCTTACAGATCTATGTTGGAAACCTGGGTTCGCATCCCAGCCTGTGCACCTCAAGTACAGACACCACTTGTGTGTCAGTGGAGACTTAGGTGCTGCTACAGTGCTGAACCGATATCAGTGACACTTCCAAACTAAGATGGACTAGGGAGAAAGGCCTTGAGATATTCTGAAATTCACCCTGTGGGTGTAAGGAGTCAGGGGCTAACTCAACAACAACTTAGTGTAAATGGAAAAGCCATGAGACAATATAGACTATCTTACTAAAATACTGAGAATCTGCCCTCAGTTGTTTCATAGTCTATTCTAACCTGTCCTTTTCAGTTGGTATATAAGTAAAAAGAAAAGAGTCACTGGTGGAATAAGGTTGTCAGTAGTACATGCCTCTCTCACACAGCTGTTTGTTTTCTTTGTCTTGGATAACTGCTGGAGGATAGTGAGAGAGATGGATGCAAAGGGAGGTGGGCATCCCAAAAAATTGAATGTATTCACATTTCCTTTTTCCTGCCTCTTTCCATCTTTCCTCAGGGCTTTGGAAACCTTCCCATCTGCATGGCTAAAACACACTTGTCCTTGTCTCACAACCCGGAGCAAAAAGGTGTGCCGACAGGCTTTGTTCTGCCCATCCGTGACATCCGTGCCAGCGTCGGGGCTGGTTTTCTGTACCCCTTAGTAGGAACGGTGAGTGAGTGCTACAGATGGAGGGAGGGGTGTGCTTGTTCACCTCTGCTTCTGATGTGAAGTTCATTGCTGAAGCCACCAAGCAAATGCTAAATAAGCACAGTTCACTGCGAAGGAGACAGGTCGAAGTTAGGACGATTACAATTCTTCTGTTGGTGTCAATTCATGTATGATGCTGTGACTGCTGCTACTGGATCAGAAAATCTGTTTCCCAAGGGCAGTGTGACCTTAGCTAAATCAGATAAGGTCTGCTTGATATGCTGTTGGCACACACACACACACACATATATGAGAGATGGCTAACATTTAGTAATCACCTTGCACAGAATAACTCAGTCCTCTTCACAGCCATCGGCGATAGTGACAGAGGCTGTGCACTGTCCTGGTCTTGAACTAAGGCTGAAATTCAGGGAATTGATTGGATTGCTTATTTTCTCAAATAAGGAGTTTTCTGTTTAAAATGCAGATGAACTGTAGATATAAAGAATGAGATTGCTTTGATTACACTTGCAGATAAATGAAGTGACATCACAATCTTATAAAGTATAGAAATGTTAACAAAAAGCATATCCCCTTTTTATGAGTATTAAGAAGCCCAGTGGCATATAGCATAACATGTTGGACTTGAAACTGAAAGGTCAACAGTTCAAATCTACCAGCAACTCCTGGGGGCAGGGGGGTAGATGAACAGTCTCCTCCGGTAAAGTTTTACAGAGACTTGGAAGCCATTGGAGGACTGGTAAGAGTCTGCATCCAGAAGGAAAGAAATGTCATAGGGAAAGTGAGGGATGTTTAAAGAGAAAATCACATTTTGGTGACATACTGCCCAATTTAAGTAATTTGCTCATCCAGTGGTTGTCCTTTTATAGCAATTTTATTCCTTCAGTTTAGTAAGAAAGTGAGAAGTGGAATAAACAATCAAAAGTACATAGTTTTTATGGGCAAGTTATTAAAGCCCTGAGCTGAGTGTCATTATGCCCCTCCCTGTCTATCAGTGTGGGCAGTACTGGTGTGTAAGGGTCAGAAGAGAGGTTATATAGCATGGTTTGCACAAGTGCCTGCTCACCAGTGCCTCCCTCATCCATTCACATGGGCAAGAACTTACCCTAGTACAGTGTTCATCAGTCTTTAGGCTTTAGAGAAAGTCACTTTTAACAGCAATGCCCCACAGCTTCCCAGCACCTTGAATAATGGAGAAGTACATGGTGTTCTTTCTGGAGAAGTTACCAGCAGCTGCCAACTGAGAGAAATAGTCTGTGCAGGGGCGACTGGCCGTGAAAGCAAATCTGAAAGTGCTCAGGGCACCAGGCGTTGGCCTGCAGGTGGGGAGACATGACGTGCCCTCCCACAATGGATCTGGATCAACATCTTGGACAGAAAGGGGGGGGGGCCTCTGATTTTAACTTCAAGTAGGGCTCTCCTTGGGGCTCACAGAAATTACTTTGTTAATTCAAAGTAAGGTGGCTTTTTGGAGTTTCATATCAAGGTTTGTATGTATGTATACTTAGCAATATTTTTAAAAAAATATTTTTTAACGTGATTAATATTTGAGGGGGAAATTCTCTTTGAGGGGGAGTGAAAAACCACCCCAGGTCCTATGATCTAAGTATAAGCACTGTTTTGGGAACCAACTTCTGAGTTTTCTTCCTACACAAGACATGTGAGTGTGCATGAGTGGGCCCAGCCTCTTTATCATGTCGCCTTCAGTTTTTCTGCTCCGTCTCAGGGCCATTCTCTTTTTGTTTCTCCTTGTCCCACATGCAGCACTTCTTATCTTCCAGACTACAAGACTAGAGACCCAACTGATCCCCACAGTGTGCTCTGGGAAGTACAGCTGGGCACTCAGATCTCGGAATTGCATTTTCTAAAGTATCGATGTTTAGGGTGACAGAAGATGACTCATTTTTAAAGATGACTCATCTTTTTCTATAACATTTTTATACTTAAGTTTTGGAAGTTCAGCCTACACTGTTTTCCTGTCTGAATTTGATTTGGAACTTGTGTATGTTCATTATACAGGAGATTGTTGCAGATGAAAATATACAAAGTTTTCACTTAAAATCCATACAGCTTTGCATCTAACTAGATATATATTAGAGCTAAGTCTTTAGAAAAAGTGCACATTTATTTCATAAGCCTTGGAAGCTCAGTTGGAGCAATAAGAACATTGATTTTAAAACTCTGTGTGCAGAATTGTCTTGACCCAAAGTAAAGGATATTAATTTCTGATAATTTTATTGAAACAAAAATGACATGGGTGTCTACACAAGACTTTCAAACAACAACAAATCAGCACATGTATCCTGTCCTTCCTAGGTCTTATGAAGAGAATTGCCTCCAGCCCCTGCCATTGTAAGACAAAGGCAGAAAAGACAGCCATAAAGCCTGGCATTTGGTTTTACTGGAAGATTTGAGTTTCTCTGAGCTCATCGTATCTTCAGTAATTTGATTTCTAATGTAACAGAAGAAATATGTCCCCTTTATTGACAACTATAAAATTACATACTTTGAGCTATCTGAGGTAAAGTAGAAGAAAACATTTTGTTAATTTTTAATGTTATTTCACCACTTCTAGATGAGCACAATGCCTGGACTCCCTACTCGGCCTTGCTTCTATGATATCGATTTGGATCCTGAAACTGAGCAGGTGAATGGACTCTTCTAAACAGGTATGTAGAGGTTTCACTAGTCTTCAAAGGCTATGAAAATTCAACTCATAATGCTTTCAAAACATTGTTATTGAAGGCATCACCAAAATAAAAGTGCAAAAAGAAAAAAGAATAGAATATGCATTATAGAGTATGAACCCAAAGGGGAGGAAGCTATAATGAGAATTATTGGTAACCAAGAAATGAAATATTTCAACATAGTTTTTGGGAGACAGAATGTGGATTGTCACAAATTGACAGTATAGAGGAGTGAGCCACTGTTGAGTGAGTTACAGAGAGAAGGGAAAGTTAGACCCTGTTTTGGAGCCTCAGGAGGCCCTGGATTTAAGGTTGATGGGTACAGTGCAGGGCTAGACCTGCTGAGGACCTGTGTAACCTTCATCGATAGATAGTAAGAGTTAAATAAATGTCTGAGAATGGTGCAGAGAAAGAAACAACTAATATTAGACTTCTTGGAATACAGGTTTTATTTCAGAGGCCCCCAAATGCCCATCACAAAACAAATGCAAAATGATCTATCCCTGTATACGTCAAGTCGAAAATCAAAATTCTAAAACTTCTCCAAAGAAGAAAAATGTCTTGTGAACCTCAAAAAATGAGAATAAAATTTATCACCTATTTTCTTATCAGCAATAAGATATATTTAAAAGAAAGAAAAAATATCCTCCAACATACGCTGCAATCCCTAAAACACGTGGCTCAAACCTGCAAGCTGCTCTGTGAGAGAAAGATGGACATGTGATTTAATGCCTTGATAACCCACTAGAAGGTCAATTATGGGTCATTTCCAACTAGTGGTTCACAACAACAATACTCTAGGAGATAAGAGGAGATAAGCCAGGAGTAGAAGACATATGAGTTTTAAGAAGTTGCAACCTGGTTTTGACAAGAGTAAAGAATAGTTCGGCAACTGTTCAAATGACCTACAGTTAAAAACCCATTGTGAACCATATATGTTAATATTAATGCAGAACAAGAGGTCTAACGTTTAAGAAAGTGAAATTCAAGTGGAAGCAAACTATAGTAATTTTTAAACAATGGTAAGGGTGATAATAAGAATATTTAGCTTGTGAAAGGAGTAGATGCAGTGAGGAGGAGGCCGAGTCTGACTTCTACCCAGTTCATGAAGGGGAACTGTCCCCATCAATAATATCCTTAGTACTAAACAAATAGCTGCATTGTCAGACATACCACCCCACATACTCCTGCAACTATTTCTACCAATCTTTGGTCTAATGTTTGCTGCAACTTAACAGATTTTACTCAACAATTATGGGGTTTATTATGGAAATAGATTAGAGAATAGGGAATGCAAAGAATATAACACAATTTAAGTCTGGGTTTAGTCCAGTAGTCCCAAGCCGGATTGACAAGGCACAGTTCCTCAGTTAGTGAGAGTCCAGGTTCAGGTCAGCAGCACAAGTGCACTTCTGGTTTTCTCAGTCATCCAGCAAACTGTATCTCAGAGTAGTTACAAGTCACCTGTTCTTTTAGTCATCCAGCAAGCACAATCTTTAACTGTGGCTCTATCTCCAGGGTTCCTCTGGTTACACCTTGCCACAGTCTATTCACTCTCTCTCCACCACCATCTTTCATAATGTGAAAACCACTCTTATATTGTCCTCACAGGTTTTGATTTTTCAGGACCATGTGTCTACCGTTAAGGTAGCTGGAGACCATACAGCCTGTGTCTAATGGATAGACAAGCCCATTTTCAAAGTTTCTGACACCTCAGTGCTTAATGCCAGCACAAAATTTCTGTATGGAGGCGTATATGACTTGGAAATGTAATACCAGTTCCTCACCTAAAACTTCTCTTGAACAGTATCCCTGGAGGCATAATGTAAATATTGTGTATTATTTCCAAATTTTCAGTTTATGGGCAGATCCTAGGAGAGTTGGTTGTGGAAATGTTAACAGCTTTGACAGTGTAAGTGTATAATGAGTACAGGGGAAGGGAAAATGAAACTCACAACCTAGGGAAAATACTTCCTATTTTCTTTTTGTTATAGATTGTCCATCTTTAAGAAGCAACTATGAACGTTTGTCCAGCATCTAACTCTGTGCCTTCTGTGGAAGTATGGGGGGGGGTCGAGAGAAGTCAGCCCCTGTCCTAAAAATCATTTGCAGTACACTGTGGGAATTTCCCTGGAAGGCCTTTGATCTTAGTTCTCATCTTCATGTATAAATTAACATAAATCATGCACATGTCTATTTACTCTTGTGAAATTCCATAGAATAAAATAATGTAATTTTGCTGTTTCTGTGTTTAAATATGAATTATAGCTTTTATAATCTTTCACCAAGGAACTAATGCTTATATAAGTTTTTGTTCTGAACTTTCTTGGACTCCTATTTATACTTTTTATTTTTAAATTAATAGAATTCCCATCATTTATTTTTACATTCCCCAGAAGAGTGATTACATGTCTACTTTTGTCGGTTCAGCAAATATTTCTTTACCTTCTACTAATACTGGATAAGGAATGGCATCCACTTCCTAAAAATCATGCCTTTGGGCGAGCTCTGGTGGCCTAGTGGCAAGAAGCTGCACTGCTATCTCAGAGGTGCACAGTTCAAATCCACCAGATGCTCGGCTGGAGGAGGGACAATCTCCTCCTATACCAGTCAGATCTGATTTGATGGTACACACACAAAAATAGTAGTAATAAAAAAACATGCCTCTGGAAACTATAAACTTTGATAAATGTTGATAGTTATAGAAAGGCTTCAGGTCTTTTGTTCATAGGGTCGCTATGAGTCATGCTCCACTCCACGTTAATCAACAACAGTGTGGGAGAAGGATGGGCGCTCTACTACCATGCAGTTAACTGCCTCTGAAAACCTGCTGGAGGGTCAGTTATGGGTTGGTTCCAACTTGACAATACACAACAACACAACAGTGCCTAGGAAACTCTGGTGGCCTGTCACCGACCACCCGACCACGGTCGTGACAAGAAACTCGAGGGGTTTCTTGGTGAAGAGCAGGTGAGGGACGAAGTCGGCGAAAATGAGACTCTGCACACCAGGATGATGTAGAGAGCTCTAGTTTATTATGCTAAAAGCTTGCTTTTTATACATTTAAACTTGTTTAAACTTGACTTATAGCCAACATTTTGTGATTACAAAGCTCACATAAGATTTTAACTAGAAAAAACAAAAAGAAAGTATTTTCTATTACTAAATAATAGCATCAGCTATTAAACATTCTTTGAACAAGAAACACAATGACCTTATGTTGGTCATCTGCTAGACAATGGTTAATGGTTTACATTTCACTTCCTTTCCTCTCCTACTTTGCGTTACTGTATTTTAGCCACTTTTGTTTTTGTCTTTGTACTCATGTTTGTACTGTACCTAACGAATCTTAACATCTATTTTCCTACACTCTGGACCATTCCTATGTTTATCAATAGCTTTTGCAACTTGTTTCATAAGATTTTAATTTGTTTTTGTTTGGCAATGTGCACTAAGGCGGACGACTTCCTTTAACTTGTTTTTACCAAGTTAACTTGTAATATTCAATTCTTTTTCCTTGGAATACAAAACTTCTATTGAGGTCATCATCATAAACTTCCGTTTCTCATTAACTGTGACTTTCTGCTATTGAAACTAGTCTAAACTTTCTCCTAATGTACACATTGCTGAATATGAGTTGCAAGTATCACAAAAGAAGAATTAGATACATACTCAAAGATCATATTCAAAATTATACTTTTAAGAACAATCTCAATTTCTTTTATATTTTCAGCTTGTTTGTTATCATTTCCAGGAACATCAAGTGGTTCCTGATTAAGGACTTTAGTTAAATCTTTATCCCAGTTCTGGTGAAGTTCCCCTGATTTTTCCCCAGAAACTCCCATTCTTATCAGAAACAGCACATAGCTTAAAATAGAAAAGCAATTCCTAGAAGCAACTTAATTTCCAGAGGTTTCCCGGGATTACGAAGACCCATCTGTAACAAATATCCAGGCATCAGCCCACTCACAAGCACAGGGCTTGCAAGATTCCCTCTTATGCTATCCTTGAGGTCAGAGACCCCGTACAGGCACGGACGTCCCATTTTGTCACACAGGCGTCGTGGCCAGAGAGGACAGCGAGGCGGGTGTGGCAGTGGCCTTGTGGTCAGAAGCTGCACTGCAGTCCCTAAGGCTTGCAGTTTAAATCCACCAGCTGCTCCAAAGGAGAAAGATGGGCAGTCTCCTGTGCCTCTAAAAATCCACTGGAGGGTCAGCTATGGGTCAGTTCTGACTTGATGGTGCACAGCAATAACCATAGTGCATGCCTGGGTGCTACCTTTCCCTACAGAGTATGTTCCACCCAAGATAGGTTATTCCCCCTTACCCCCTTCTCTTAATCTTTCTCTTCCTTCCTCTCCAATTTTCTGATCCCTTCTCAGCCCCCGTGTCCTCCTGCATTGGATCCTTGCAGAGCGTGTTGCGTGCCCACAGACACCAGTGCTGACCACCACCAGGCCTGGCAGAGTTCTAATTTTCTATGTGTTCTTGGTTTTCTCCATTTTACTCCTCAGGGCTCAAATTAGCCTTGCAGTTCAGTCAGCTGTACAACCCAAGGAAATGGGAGAAATGCTTTGGGAGGCATTTAGCAAAGTTATGAGTGCAGACCCTACTTTACCACTTAGAACCGCACCACCCACTTCTCTGCCTCCACTTGCCCAAGGGGAAATGAGGGCACTGTTGGTAGTGGTAGGGATACAAGCTGGTAAGATAATTTGCACAAAGTCTGGCACATTGTAAACATGTTGGTCACATTGAAAACATCACTCAGGTCCTTTTCACACAAATGCAGAGCTGATACTTATAAAAATGTTCCATAAATGTTCATCCAGAATGGGACTTCGTGAAAATCCCCTTTGTAGACAAGTAAAGGAAGTATGTCTGGTGTCAGATATAGTGACTATAATCCCAGAACACTTGATTGTGCTTATGTGAAACCTATACTTGGACAGTCATCAGAAGAGAACAAGGAAACACTGTATG